GATGTCAGTATTAGTTGGAATTCCATGAAAGTGTAACAAATGACAGCTGGAGTTTAAGACTCTAGAAACAAACAGGATCACAGAAAGCTATGATTATACCTTTTAACACAAAATAGGCACACTCTAGAAGCAAATCACTGGGAAGTAACAGAAAAAGTGACAATTCAACATTTTCGGACTGAAAAACTGTGAGCAATACATTTTGGTAAAGAAAAAATGTATTTCTAGTAAAGAAAAATGATTGCTAGTAAAGAAGATTGGTTCTCAATCCAGAGTAAATTGAAACAATAATTTTCAAGCTCGAGATCAACATGAGTTCAAATAAAAGTAATAAGCAACAGGTTCCGATTGCAAACTGCCTAAGGGACAAGAGATAAATCATTTAATTCCTGTTCTCTAGCACCTCCACCTTCGAGAACTGCTGTACCTCTGAAAATGCCTGTTACAATGGAAAAACGAAAATAAGAAGCAAAGGAAAGGATACAGCTCCGAGCTCTTTCCTCTGCCAACTCCAAATACGCTGAAATTGCCCACCTTTTGTCTCACCACCACCCACCTCCCCCCCGCCCCGCTTTCAGTACTCTTTCCTCACTGCAGTCAGCGGAACGCGGAGAGGCTTGGGGTTGGGTGGGATTTCAAAGGTGACAATCACTCGCTTCCTTTAGCAATACAAAAAGACAACGGAGGGAGCGCGGAGTTGCCCTTTGTTTTCGAGGTTGAGACAGCTACAGCCGCGGCCACTAAGTGAACGAAGGCAACAGGGAAGTCCGTCTCGTCCGCCACCCCCGGAGCCCCTTACTTACCTCCAAGTGCCGCAAAAGCTGAGCGGTGTTCGCCTCGGACTTAACGGCTTTATACTGACTGATGGTCAGAAGCAAAGACTTCAAGCAGGCGGTGGAGTCCATCCGGACCCGCCACAGGGCCGCTTGGAGCGGGTACCACCACCGTCCTCCAGCTTTTACCGCGCGTTTTTTTTGATTTTTCTTCTCCACCCCCTCGCTCCCAGAAGCTTCCGATTCCGGTTGAGCTCCGGAAGTCCCTTGGCAACTTGAGGATGGCACCCTACGAAGGAAACGGAGGGCTGGGATGCAGTGGTGGAGGAGGGGGTGTCGAGGCCCAGCCTGAGTCCTTGAGGCGGGCTAGGAGTTGTTCTTTCAGACCCCCGATCTGAAAAGCCGCGAGGTTTTAGTTCGAGATCCCGTGAAGCTGAGGAATCTCGCGAGAAGTCAATTGCGGCTCCCCTGGCGTAGGGGGCGGTTGGGTAGCAGGGGGTCTCTGTTCGTTAGTGATCGCCGTTGCGTTTGCTTCCTTGGCCTTCACCGTGTGTGGCCAGTTTTTTCTTTGTGCGTCATCCTCTACCTGAGAAATGGTCGCTTTACCCTAGTCTAGACACGGTGAGGAGCTCCAAGGAGGAGAATCTTGGGTTCTAGATTTTGAGGCGGCCCGAGAGAGGCCTCTTTTAAAAATCGCTTATTTGTCCACCGCTTCTGCTGAGGAATGTTTGTTTCTCAGAGTAAACCTATGGCCGTTCGGATTCGGTGGCAAGTTAGTCATGCGCTTGTGATAGCCGCTGTCAGTTTATTTGAGAAAGCTGGCCCAGGTGACTCCTGTGCCAGCTGTCGCTCCGAAGGCTGTTCTTATTAGCGTCAGTTTTGTGAGTGAAGGTGTCTGCTTTTATCTGGCGTGATTGATTGCTTTATAAATCTTGCTGTCTAAGGAAATGGCACTGTTTGCGGTTTTCGTTCAGAAATAGTATTATGTATGTGAATATCATGAAATGAGTCAGACTGGTTCTGGAGCTTTTTTGCTTAATGTATGCTATTGTTGAATGAAGCTTTGAAAGCCAGTTTGGAGAAAATTTTAAGAACTGGGTACACATCCTTTTAATTAAACCATTTGTCAGAAATGTTTTGTCAATTCAAAGAAAGCCTGTTTTGCGTCACTACATTTTTAAAGACAGGAATTATTTTTATATTAAAAAGCAATTTAATTCTGAAAGGTAAAAAAAATAATTGAGGCATAAATCATTGGGTAATTAATGTGTTTATGCGTTTATTCATTCTGTAAGCAATTATCGAGTGTATAAAGTGGGCTAATCCTGCTAGTTAGGGACCCTGCTGGGAAGGAATTAAATGAAATGTACTGGATAATAGTACATACAGAACTGACCAATAGAGACATCATGCGATTATGGTAAAGAGTGGAGCCAGGCTGTTTGTTTACAAATCCTAGGTCTACCTTTTACTGTGTGACCGTAGGCACATTCTCACTGTTTGGATCTCATCTTGAAGTAAAATCTAACAGTAGCGTCTATTTCATAAGATTGCTTATTCAATAAATAGCTGGAGCCTGCAGTGTGCTAGGCATTGGTCTAAGCACTAGATTCGGTAAATAAAGTAAAAATCCTATTGTCATGAAACAATACATTACATGAAAGAATACATTACATGAAAGAATACATTACATTCTGATAGGGGAAAGAAAAACAGTAAATAATAAGCACAGTAAGGAAAGTGAGATGGAGAAAAAGAGAATTACTCCTCTAGAGTAATGGTTTAAAAAAAAGGGGAAATGGGAGGTCAGGATAGAGAAAGCAACATTTGAAAAATACTTAAAGAGTTGAAAAAGACCTGTGCTCTCTAAAGGGAAACATTTCTAGATAGAATAGCAAGGGGAAAAGCTTTGAAATGGAGCCTGATAATATAAGGAACAGCAAGGACTTTGCTATGGCTGGAGTAGAAAGAGAGGATGAGAGTAGTAGAGATGAAGTCATGTCGGGTTATAAAATTAGCTAACCAATGAAGAACAGTTGTCTGGCATAGTTATGTTCTCAGCAAGTGCCAGTTACGTCTTAGGTCTTTGGCAATACAGTGATAACAGTTTGACAGCATTAGACTTTTCATTCATAATGATAAATGCCTTAGGATTGTCCCCATTTAGATCTGAGGGAAAGGGTCAAAGCTCTTTGCTCAAAGTGCTATCCTTCTTTGAAATATTGCATTTTAACTTGAGCAGTCACACACATTTTGCATCTCCATATTTATTTTAACATGAAATAACATCTTCCTAAGAAAATCTTCACCAAAAATTGAGCTGTGAAAAGGTCTGACATCTTTTGTCAGAGGTACTTGCGTATCCCAATATGAGAAACAGAGCTATATTTTTAAGACCCAAAAAGGTGAAAAGGAGGAGGAAATGGAGCTGGGTCCAGATGACTGAAGGCTGTACTAGCCTTTGAGCTGGGACTCGGTCTTGAATTCAGTGGTGATCTCTGGTTTCAAACTGGGTCCTGATAGTTAGGTTTGTGTCTTAGACTGATTACTCCGACACTCTGAGGAAGATAAGCCCAGAAGTAGGGAGGATATTTATTTTACTGGAGTCTTTCCAAAAGATGGCTGAGATAACTGGAGTTAGCAAAAAGCTAACAAATTTAAGAAATATATATGAGGTGAAATAGGTAGGACTCTGAATGATTTCAAATGGAAGGATGAGAGGGATAAAACTAGAAGGGATTCCAAGTTTCTAGTCTGGCTGATAGAGAAGATTTAGAAACTGCCGAGGTAGTCAATGTTAAGTATTCACGTTGTATTTTATGTTCAGTGAAATACTGTGTAGCTCATATAGTCTTGTACCATTCTCATTAAATTTATTCCTGGATATTATATAATTTTTGTTACTGTGAGTGGGTTCTCTTTTTCCCCTAAAAATTTTTAGTTTGTTTTTGCTACTGTTAAAAGAGAAACTGATTTGTGGTAGATCTTTTATTCAGTTTACTGACTGAAATTTCCTTATTGATTCAATTTTGCTTCCTCTCTTAAATTTTCTAGCTACATATCACCTGAAAATAATAATTTAATCCCTTCCAATATTTTTTGTCTTTATTTCATTAGTGTAATTTCTAAAATATGGAATAATCATAATGATACTGAACATCGTTACTTCATTGAATGAGAATGACCAGTATTTTAATGCTTTGTATAATTTATGCAACAGTTGCTAAGAGATAAGTATTCTTTAAAATGTTTAGGCAATACCAGTTTTATTTAAAGATTTGTCAGAATGTCTGCTAAAAAGTTATCAAATATTTATATATCTTATTTTTACCTTTGAAATGGTAGCTTGGTTAATTGTAACAGCTAACACATATTGAGCATTTATCATATGCCAAGCACTGTCCTAAGAACTTAGCTATTTGGTCTTTATAATATCATGCTTTACATACTGTTTCGATCTCTGTTACGATCAGATGGAAAAATGTGAGAGAGTTGAGATAATTTGCGCAAGGTCACACAGGCAGCAGTAGCAAACACTGTATCCGCCGCACTGCAGATATCTTATTCAGGCTTTATATTTATGTTTGGGAGAATTTAAAATGGCTTTTTCTTTATTCTTTCTTTTGGAATTTGGGTTGTTTGTTACTTTTGAAAAATGAATTGGAAAATTTCCATCTTTTTTTCTTTGCTGTAGATTAATAAGACTCACATAGGAATCATCTGATTCTTGTAGATTGTATATAACTAACCTATAAAATCAAGTGTGATAGCTCGTTTAGGGGTAGATTTTTAGAAGACATTTGAATTTATAATATGGTTATTGATCTGATCATTTTTTCTACCTTTTCTTGAGTGAACTTTGGAAATAAAAATTTTTAGCATACCGACTATTTCTCTAAATTTGAAAATTTATTGATGTATCAGTATTCAATAATTCTCTTAATCTCTTCTTTGTAGATTTAAATTTCCATTTTCATTATAAGTTATCTGTTTTCTTAGTTAGGCTTTCTGGGAGTTGTCTATTTTATTCAGTTTTTCAAGAACCAACTTTGATTTTATTGATCTTGCTTTTTTTCCCTTCAGAATCAGTAATTTTACTTTTCTCTTTAAAAATTCCATCCACATACATGTGTTTTTCTTTTATTTGTTCTTTTTATAATTTTGTAAAGTTGAATGTTTAGTATATTTCTAATACTGTATTTATTAAAGATTATTCACTCCAGAAAAATTTACAAAGTTATTAGCTAAAGTGAGTGTCTGCATTGTACTTAAAAAATGTTTATTTTAATCAGATAAATATTTTTAAAATGCTAATATTCACTCATTTATCAAATATTTACTGAATGCTAGTTATTTTGCAAAGAGCTTAGAGTCTTTTGGGGAATAGACAAATTCAGAGTGCTTTTCAAGAGACGTAGAAAGCTGTAGGAGCACAGGATATTTTTTAAGGCAAAATATCAAGTATACAATTCCTTTATCAGGGATTGGCATGAAATCTCTCCATAAATTTGTATTGCCATCTGTTCTTTGTATTTGATGTAGATACTTTTCCTAATTTATAGATCAGGAAACACATTTAAGGGAGTTAAAACTTGCCTAGGAGCTTGCAACTCAAGGGCTGTGAAACTCCTTTATATCTTCTGGAAAAACTTAAAGAGCATATCTTCAAAGCTAAATAGTAAAATGGAAATTTTTAATGTCATGACCAGGGTTTAAGTCATATTAGATGAATCATACTGAACAGAGATATGAACTATATTTTTTGACAAAAGTGCAGAGTACTCAATGTTTTAATAGAGGACTTATATCGGAGGTGTGAATACAGAGCTAATTATTAATTCATTTAATCTCCATATATTTAATGAGTGCTTGAGTAGCAGGTACATTTCTAGGTTCTGGGGATAGAGCAGTGAATAAAATAAACAAAAATATCTGTCCAAGTAGAGCTTTTATTTTAATGGGAGATATAGCAAAGAAAAAAAGAGATATAAGTAAAATGTATGAATGTTAGTAATAAGTGCTATATAGGAAAAGAAAGAGTAGGGATATAGGAAATATAAGAGTCAGGATGGAGAATTGCAGTTTTAATTAGGGTGAAGTATTGATCAGTTTTTGCTGCATACCAAATCACCTCAAAACGCAGTGTTTGAAACCATGAAAATTTCTTTCTTGGTCTGTGGGTTGACTGCTGTTAGTCTGATCAAGGCCTGACTTGGTTGAGTGGGTCCTTCAGCTATTTTCTGGGGTAGGGGAGATATCCAGAACTCAAGCTGAGTTATGGTGAGGTATCTACTAGACATCTGGAAGCTGCTGCGTGGGTTGTTCAGTATAGTATTTGTAGTCAAGGGAGCGGTCAAGGCCAGAGCTAAAAATGTAAAGCCTCAAGACTAAAGGACATAGGGCGAGTAGGATAGAAAAGACTGGACCCGGAAGTACTGAAGTACTTAGAGGTTGGAGAGATGGGGAGAAGCCAGCAGAAACACGAGAAGTAGTTGCCGCAGGACCGGGGCCTGTGTGACCCCGTGGTCGTCTGCAGGGATTGCTGTGACCTGCGGTATCTGGGCTGCTTTCAGCTTGTGAGGGTGGACTCTGGGTCAACAGAGAAGGAAGTCTGTGTCTATATACAGGTTTCACTCTTCATTTCTGCCTTCAGAGGACCTGAAGTATGAGGAAGGATTGGTGACTTTATTTTTTATATCAGTATCGAATGCTTGAAGTATGCCAGGTACTAGGCACTGGGGATGTAGCCAGGGATTTAGAAAAAGAAAAAAAAAAATGTGACTCTGTGGGACTTCCATGATAGTGAGAGCATGAGGCCAAGTCTAAAACTGAGAGATTATTCAGTAGGTGTAAACAGCAGGTAGAACAAAAATCCTATTGGCCCAGGTTCCAGAGATACAGGACGAAGAAATTTATAATAGAAAATTGGCAGAGGTCTAGACATGAGGTCATTTGGATACTATGTACCCAGTACGATTAAAACAATTCAAATATGTACCGACATTTAATTGATTTTAGCATTTATACAGAGCCAGAAAACAGTATGTACAGTTAATGTCAACTCTCATTTTTCAGAATAGTTTACCTTCCATCACAAAGCCAGGAAACCTAAATAAACCAAAATTATTCCCCACTTAGAATTATCTTTCTTCCTGGTTTCTTTCCCAACCATATATGATTAAGCTAATCTGTAAAAGACTTACCAAACCATAAAATTAACTTTCTCACTTTTCAAACAGTTCCTGATTTTATTTAATGTACATTTCACAGGCTTCAACTCTAAGAATACAAGGAATGGATAATTTGGGTAAATGTTTTGTCCCGCGTTTTCACATCTAATTTCATATCCCTAAAACTTTTGATTTTTTTTAAAGTGCTATCCATTTTTTCTGAATCTAATTTTATAGATAAGTAAACATGAAATGACACACTTTTAAGTTACAGTAATCATTTTAAATTATAACTAGTATTTGTTGAAAGCCTCTGTGCAGAGCACAGAGCAGTGTCTTCTGCATATCTTATTTAAAATTTTCTAGTCTTTTAGGAAATAGAAATTATCAAGATCATGAAAGGGGTATATATTTGTTTCCTGAGTTAAAATGTGAAATCATTTTCTGAAACAGGGGAATCCAAAGTAGAGTATGCACACCTTAGATATGTGAAACTGACTATTACAGTGTGGGAACAAATATTAGAACTTCTGTTTTTACTTATTTTAGTCTTACTTTTTTTATTTTATAGTAGTGCTTACAGTAGCATTAATAGCATAAATGAATTGCTAGCCATATATTTTCATTGTATTTTCAGATTTGCTTCTTTAGAAGTATGTGATCCAAAAAATTGGAGATTTCTCCAAAATCTTTAACCTTGACGGAGGATAAAGTTGGATTTGGGTAGGGTCATTGGTGGGAGAGTCAAATATGTATTGTATCCTCCATTCCCTGCTTGATCGTCATCTCAATATGGGTCATGTTTTAACATTCTGTCATATCCTTTTTTTTTCATTATTGTCTAACAACTGTAATGACAACGTAATATTTTTAAATGACTGAAAATATCCCACTTTTGGAGAGTTTGCTTAACAAATGGTCCTTCCAACAGTCCTAGCTGCATTTTTGAATAGCATGGTTTTCGCAGTGCCTCCTGTAAGTAACCTGAAACTGATGGATTGTTTAATATTTGGACTTTTTTCAGGTGAATTCTAACCTATGCATATTTATAATAGATACACTCCAAATATTTATAACTAATATATATACATATTCTGCAAATTTGCTTGTGTAAGTTCAGGAATAAGTGACTGAATAGATCTGAAGAGAATTAAATACCTGCTTCAGACAAGATGCCAATTTTGGCAAGGATGTTCCCTATATTGGCAGATTTGTAAGGATGGGGCACTGGGTATGCATTGCTATTTTCTTGTGTCCTGGTATGATCTGCCAGATAGTGGCAAAATGATCTTTGCTAAATAGCTAGAGCTGAGGAGTACCCTGATCTTTTGGGACAGATAATATCTTTGGTTTCTGATAACTTTTGTAGAGGTTTTCCAACCATCGTCAATCAGTCTTGGAGTTTACTTAAGCAAACTATGTATTTTTTCCATAGGGGAAAATGATATTTTGGCTTCTCTTGTGTAGGTATGTTCATTTTGAGGCCTTGCCAAAGTGAAAGTCAATGTTGTGTCTTTGTGATCCCATGGACTGTAGCCCCCCAGGCTCCTCTGTCCATGGAATTCTCCAGGCCAGAATACTGGAGTGGGTAGCCTTTCCCTTCTCTAGGGGACCTTCAAACCCAGGGATTGAACCCAGGTCTCTAGCATTGCAAATGGATTCTTTATGTCTTGCAGATTTTCATTTTGAGTCTTTGCCAAGAACCTAAATAAATACAAAATGGAAAAAATAAATGGAAAATTAGAAAATCAAATAATCAGTATATTTCCCCATTCTTCAGACAGTTAGTAATAAATTAATTGTATAATCGGTTTTTCTTTGAGTTTAAACTGATGGCCTAGCCCTTCTTGTTTACTGTCTCACATGTGAGAGTGTTGAAGCCACAAAACTCCTGCTTTACTCCTTTCAAAGCCACCAAAAATGACTGTTTCTATTTGACTAGCAGACATAGATTAATAATAGTTAAAATTTTGGTTGGAAGAAACTCCCATAAAAATGTCTTGAGTTATTCCTAGAAAGTGTCCTCTTCATAGTTTTTTTCAGCCTTGGGGTGTTTACTGTACTATATGTGGCCAGAACATCTCACATCTCCACTTAGAGGAGTGTTTTAGAATTCTCTTGGCAAAGTCTAGCAGAAGTGATAACTAGCATTGTCAGAATTTGCTTTAGTAACAGACCTGAAGTACATTTAATTCAGTGCTGAAATAGAAATCCAGCTTTGTAAAGTAGCTTTCAAAATTTGACCAAGTTGCATGTTCAGGATTGTTTATTGCAGCATTGTTTATAAAATATATTTAAAAAACCCACATACAAACACAAACTGGATACAGTTGAAGTATTTATCAGTAGTGGTCTGGTAAATAGTTTCATTTATACAGTGGCATATCATGCAGTTTAAAGAATATGGCAGATTCATATGTGTTGATATGAAACTGCAAGGTGCCAAAGATATTCAGATTAAACTGCCATTTGTTATCATGTAGGATATAGTTGAAAGATGCTTTTGACCCATTTTTTTAAGTCTCATTATTACTATTCCTTTTCATATAATAGCTTTTCTCCAAGGTAGAGAATTGGAAGGAAAGTGAACTGATTTTGCCATAAATTTAAATGAAATTAAACAAAGATGTTGATAGTAACAAATATAATCCCGTAGACTTAGTTCATGGAATTCTCCAGACCAGAATACTGGAGTGGGTAGCCTTTTCCTTCTCTAGGGGATCTTCCCAACCCAGGGATCAAACCCAGGTCTCCCACATTGCAGGCAGATTCTTTATCAGCTGAGCCACACGGGAAGCCCTTACTATGTTCAGTTACATGTTTTAAAACATTTACTCTTTGCAACCACCCTGTATATCATGGATCAACTTTTTCTCTATTTTTCAGATAAGGAAACTAAAGTACAGAGATGTTCATTCCACTCAAGGTTTCATGGTTAATACGTGTTGAAGCTGACTTGTACACTCTTGTAAACTGGCTGTAATGTCTCTTGTGCTCTTAGTTACGAATCCTGTGCAACCTCTCAACTTACTTTTCACACTGATGGAAACTAAATGAGATACTTTATCATTTCTCCTTTTTGTGGAGAAATGATTTGTTGTGTTCATACAGGATACCTGAGTCCAAAAGATCCCCTAGAGTAGGAAATAGCAACCCTCTCCAGTATTCTTGCTTGGAAAATTCCATGGACAGAAGAGCCTGGCAGGCTACATTCCATGGGGTGATAAAGAGTCAGATGTGGCTGAGCACACACACACACATACATGGTACCTAGTCACAGGAATATTTTTTAATTGCTGAGAACAATCTGTGTTCATCTAGGTAGCCTTTTCATTTTAACCCTTTTAATTAGATAGTTCTGAGCTGTGGGCAGTTTTGCCCCCTGAAGGGCGTCTGGCAGCGTTTGGTGACGGTTTTGATTGCCGCAGTGGGGCTGAGAGGTGAGAGAGAGTTGCTTCTGTCGTATACTGGCTAGTTAGGCATGTTTCTGAACATCCTAAAAATGCATAGGACAACTTCTCATAACCAAGATTTACCCAGCACAATATTTTTTTTTCAAGCTAGTAGCATTAAGAAAAATGAACTTTATTTTTACTGCTTTTTTTACACTGTTATTATGCACTTTCCCCACCTGGCCATGTGTTATCTCTAAGTGCCAAAACTGACAAGGCTAGCAAATTCATGGGACCATAGGACATCGATCCATACATTGCAATGTAAACTTGTTGGCCAGGTGGAACCTCTGACTTGGTCAGGTGACAGAATTAAGATGAGCATTTAAGTGGATATAAAGACAATGTAAATATATACAGTTTAAGGAGGTGACAATGCGACAAGGTAAATGTTTAAATGAATGATTAAAAAATTATAAACAATAGTTGTGCCTACTTTGATGTGAATAGCACAGCTTTAAAAATAGGGAAAGGAAACTCTTAAATTTAAAAAAGCATGTTATAATTTCATGAGAGGAAAAGGGGTAACTGGAAGCTCAGAAAGGGGGAGCAGTAAAAAAGATATTTTTCTGCCTCAAGATATGGATGGCAATACCTTATTTTCAACCAGTAAAGCAACATGCAGATAAAATCATTTTCGTTAGTGGATAAAGGTGTGCTTTAAATCGACACTGAACTTTAGCTTGCCCTATGGTCAGCCAGCCAGACCTGAACAGTTTCTGTTGACGGGCACTTCTTTAATTCCAGAAAGGCAGAATAAATGTTTCGTTTCCTGCTGACAAGGAAAGGCTACTGAAATGAACACACGTAAGGAAACTGGATTCACCCTTTCTCCCATGTTAACCCTGATTTAAAAGTTTCCTTCAGCCTCTTCTAGAATAGTGAGAACTTTTGATTATTTCAGAAGTACAGTGGTAACTTTTTAGGCTGGCTGCTTCCTTTCTGTTGCTAAGCATTTATACCTTCCTTCCCAAGAAAGGCTGTAAAGTGCTACTGCTGCCAGTGGTGCTTGTGGGGCTTGCCACCTGGCAGCTCAGCTCCTGGGAAATGATGGGATTAATGATCAACTCTCCTGGAAAACCTTTCGCCATAGATATTATGAAGAGGTGACAAGAATACACAGAAGAGCTGTACAAAAAAGGTCTTCATGACCCAGATAACCACAATGGTGTGATCACTCATCTAGAGCCAGACATCCTGGAATGTGAAGTCAAGTGGGCCTTAGGAAGCATCACTACAAATAAAACTAGCGAAGATGATGGAATTCCAGTTGAGCTATTTCAAATCCTAAAAGATGACGATGTGAAAGTGCGGCACTCAATATGCTACCAAATCTGGAAAACTCAGCAGTGGCCACAGGACTGGAAAAGGTCAGTTTTCATTCCAATCCCAAAGAAAGGCGATGCCAAAGAATGTTCAAACTACTGCACAATTGCACTCATCTCACATGCTAGTAAAGTAATGCTCAAAATTCTCCAAGCCAGGCTTCAACAGTACATGAACCATGAACTTCCAGATGTTCAAGCTTGATTTAGAAAAGGCAGAGGAATCAGAGATCAAATTGCCAACATACAGTGGATCATCGAAAAAGCAAGAGAGTTCCAGAAAAGCATCTACTTCTGCTTTATTGACTATGCCAAAGCCTTTGACTGTGTGGATCACAACAAACTGTGGAAAATTCTTCAAGAGATGGGAATACCAGACTATCTGACCTGACTCCTGAGAAATCTGATGCAGGTCAAGAAGCCACAGTTAGAACTGGACATGGAACAAGAGACTGGTTCTTAATCAGAAAAGGAGTACATCAAACATCAAGGCTGTATATTGTCATCCTGCTTATTATATGCAGAGTGCATCATTTGAAATGCCAGGTTGGATGAAGCACAAGCTGGAATCAAGATTGCCAGGAGAAATATCAATAACCTCAGATATGCAGATGACACCACCCTTATGGCAGAAAGTGAAGAAGAGCTAAAGAGCCTCTTGATGAAAGTGAAAGAGGAGCATGAAAAAGTTGGCTTAAAACTCAACATTCAGAAAATTAAGATCCTGGCATCTGGTCCCATCACTTCATGGCAAATAGATGGGGAAACAATGGAAACAGACTTTATTTTCTTGGGCTCCAAAATCATTGCAGATGGTGACTACAGCCATGAAGTTAAAAGACACTTGCTCCTTGGAAGAAAAGCTATGACCAACCTAGAAAGCATATTAAAAAGCAGAGACGTTATTTTGCCAACAAAGGTCCATCCAGTCAAAGCTATGGTTTTTCCAGTAGTCATGTATGGATGTGAGAGTTGGACCATAAAGAAAGCTGGGCACTGAAGAATTGATGCTTTTGAACTGTGGTGTTGGAGATGACTCTTGAGAGTCCGTTGGACTGCAAGGAGATCCAACCAGTCCATCCTAAAGGAAATCAGTCCTGAATATTCATTGGAAGGATTGATGCTGAAGCTGAGACTCTAGTACTTTGGCCACTGATCTGAAGAACTGACTCACTGGAAAAGACTCTGATGCTGGGAAAGATTGAAGGCGGGAGGAGAAGGGGATGACAGAGGATGAGATGGTTGGATGGCATCACCGATGTGGTGGACATGAGTTTGAGTAGGCTCCGGGAGTTAGTGAAGGGACAGGGAAGCCTGGCGTGCTGCAGTCCATGGGGTCGCAAAGAGGTGGACACGACTGAGCAATTGAACTGAACTGAATGCTCCTCTCTCCTGGACAACCTTTCACCACAGAGATTGATATCAGGTTGTATTTTAAAGCAGGCTGAGAAAGCAAGCCATTAGCCTTTTTAAACTCTTAATTTAGGGTCCAAATACATTCTAATTTATTGATTAATTTTACGCCCTTTTCTTTTTCAAACTGAACAGTGAATAGCTTAGCAAAGGCCTTCCATTCTCTCTTCCTTGTTGCCAGAGTATTTTCCTCCTTTTCAGCCTCACTGTGATCTATGCAAACAGCTACTAACTGAAGGAGAACTTATAAGAAAGGGGAATATCCAGGCCTGAGCTTTTAAATTCTGAAAATGAGAGGATTATTTTGTCTGGGAAAGGCAGACAAAATATGCTGCTCTGCTATGCTACTCTTGTATGCTCTGGCTATGAAATAATGTCAGTTATTTTTTTTTATTAAAATAACAGGTTAAAGAAACCATAAAAACAGTTTGATCAAAGTCCTACAGTTTTCAAAGCCATGTCCTTTTCTGTACAGCTTTATTAAGAGATAAAGCAGATCTGAGTTTGTGTGAGAATAGTGAGTTTTATCCAGCCGTTCTCTGCTTCATTATTGGCTTTAGTTTATATCTTTGTATTTGAATAGAGAATGCAAATTCTAACAGGCATGTGACTTTGTATACTGGGTTTTTGAAATAAGACTAAAAGTAAAAAATAGAATGATATACCTCGAAGAAGTAGATTGTATAGGCGAGTTATGTAAATACTGACAGCAAGAAGTGTTTTATTAGGTATGGACAGGAAACAGATGTTAGAAAGTTCTGTTTTAAATGAGGGAGTTTAGTGGAAGTCTGTGTAAATCTTTACATTTGTAGTTTGATTAAGAAATATCAGGTAGCATTGAATTGTTAGAGGATTATCCTTGTTTCTCAAGCCTTTTTGTGTAACTGAGAGCTGGTATGTGTTATTCGTTCAGTCGTGTCTGACTCTTTGCAGCCCCTTGTACTGTAGCCTACCAGGCTTCTCTGTCCATGGGATTCTCCAGGCAAGAATACTGGAGTGGGTTGCTATTCTTTTCTCCAGGGGATCTTCCGCATGCAGGGATCGAACCTGAGTCTCTTGCATTACAGGCAGATTCTTTACCATGTGAGCCAACAGGGAAGCTAAGTCAAATACAGAATATAGATAGAATCATTTCTTTCTTTGTCCCAGAGCACCATGCTCTGGTGCGAAGAGCTGAATCATTTGAAAAGACCCTGATGCTGGGAAAGATTGAAGGCGAGAGGAGAAGGGAACGACAGAGGATGAGATGGTTGGATGGCATCACCAGCTCAATGGACATGAGTAAACTCTGGGAGTTGGTGATGGACAGGGAAGCCTGGCGTGCTGCAGTCCATGGGGTCACAAAGAGTTGGACACGACTGAGCGACTGAACTGAACTGAACCATGCAATAATTTTATATACTTTTACTGTAATACTTTCTCAGCTTGTGTACAGTGGGACCAGAAAGGGAAGTCAGCGTAACAGAGGGCAATAGAATTTGGAGACCTGAACCCTCAGTAAAAGAAATCAAATGGGACTGATTTTGGAAGAATTGGCTTTGGAATAGTTAAATTAGAGAGCAATATAAATAGATGTAGATATGCTAATGACATTTTGTTCCCCTTTTGTTTTCATTTATTTTGCTGCAGTATTTTTTTTTTCCTTCAGGAAACATCCACAACATTCATTGATATTTAAATCAGAGAATATACAAGAGTTCTTCATATCTCTTGTCTCCTATTAATGGAGATTCATGCAATTTTGAAGAAAAGTAGCTAAATGTTATTTTTTCTGTCTTTCTGTGAGGTCGCTCAGGCGTGTCTGTCTCTGTGACCCCATGGACTGTAGCTTTCCAGGCTCCTCCATCCATGGGATTTTTCAGGCAAGAATTCTGGAGTGGGTTGCCATTTCCTTCTCCAAAATGTTATTTTTGGACTAAGAGAAATGTTGAGGCTTGGCAGAAGCCAACACGATTCTGTAAAGCAGTTATCCTTCAATTAAAGAAAAGATTGTGTTAAAGAGGAACTTCTTATAACTGGGAAATAAATTATTAGAAACCATTTGGGAAGCCATTTAGCAGTAAGCACATAGAAGCTTAAAATATTTGTGTCTTTGACCTAGGAAATCTGTTTCTGAGGATTTGTCATAAGGAATTAATCCTAAACATAGAAAAGGCATTACAGGCAATGGAGTTTATCACAGTACTAATTATTTATATTGAAAAAATGGGAAACACTAAATGTTCCACTATCAGGAAATGGCTAAGGAAGCCACCATCAGTTGTCATGTAGCCATTGAGAATGTTTGCTAGGAGTATAAAATAGCATGGAAGGTGCTTCTGATACAATCCAGTGGTGAGGAAGCTGCGGTGGTGTATTCCATATTCAATATGATTACAAATCGGTGAAATATACCCATGCTTGGAACAAAGTATATTAAAACATAGGCAATGATTTATATTATGTGTGTTTAGATGATGAAACTATGTGATTTCACTTTCTTTTATAGCAGTTTCAAAAATTTCTTTAATGATTATATACTATTTAAATAGTGGGGAAAAAAGAATGAAATCCTCCTACCCTCCTACTAAAACATTACTTTCCTTACAGCTTTAAACCGCAGTCGTAAAAGTCAGTCTTCAAGCCTTGGAATAAGACTTGCATAAGAATACTATGCAGCATGGATTCTCTACCAGAAGGATTTTCTGTGAGGTAAGGGATGGGCTGGGAAACCGACTGTAGGTGTTATGTTCTGAAGGCACCACATTTGCCTTTCTCACAGAATTTTGAGAAGCTAGTGTGAATGATATACCCTTATATTTCAAGACAACAGTTTTTTAGTAGAGGATGTAAACTGGGTAAAATCTAATTTTAGAAAATTTCTCTAAGGACTTAGACCCTGACTCAGTAGCTAAGAGTTGATGTGCCATAGCTTGCCACACTGGGGACATTCACAACAAAATAATGTTTTATTTATCATTTAACATGCACTTAAATAGATTTGGGGCTTCCTTGGTGGCTCAGATAGATGGTAAAGAATCTGCCTGCAATGTGGGAGACCTGGGTTTGATCCCTGGGTCAGGAAGATCCCCTGGAGAAGGGAATGGATACCCACTCCAGTATTCTCGCCTGGAGAATTCCATGAACGGAGGAGTCTTGCTGGATATAGTCCATGGGGTCACAAAGAGTCAGACATGACTGAGCAAGAAACACCAAATAGACTTACTTTCTGCCACGCATTGTTTTGAATGCTTTTACAAGCCTTAACCCATATAAACCTCATAACAACTCTATGAGGGGATGCTATTATTATTTCCATTTTATATAAAGTAGCCTAAGTATAACACAGAAGGCTACTGAGAGGTTCAACTGGGCCTAGGCTAAATGTCAGTCTCTCCTCTCCAATTAGGGAAAGTTCATTTTGCTTAGACCTTTCCCATGTAATAGTAAAGAGCTGGTTAGTATTGGAGATCTCCTTCCCACATTGCCCTATCTCATACAATAAACAATGTGTTGTTTTTGCAAATATTTAATTACCTCCTTGACACTTAGGGAATAAGAATAAAATAAAATATGTGTACTTAGATAGCATCACCGACTCAATGGACATGAATTTGAGCAATCTCCGGGAGATAGTGGAGGACAGAGGAGCCTAGTGTGCTACAGTCCACGGGGTTGCAAAGAGTGAGACATGACTTAGCGATTGAACAACAGCTTAGAATTATAATATAGTCAGAAGATATCTAAAAAGTTGTCTTACCTTTAGGCAAAATGCATGCGTAAGTATTACAGTAGAAAGGCTGTGGCTGTATATAGGATGAAACACTGATTATTGACTTGGGGGTTCAGTGGGTTTTTAGGTGACATGTGAACTGAGTTTTAAAGGATAAAGACGGCTCTTGATGAATGTAGAATCAGGGCACATGGGAGGTTGCTTAGCTGAGGAAACAGCAAGAAAAAAGTATTTAAGGTAAATTCTTGGGGAGGAGTTTGACTCCTGATAAGGAGTTAGCTTTATTTTGTGCAGAGTTACGAGAAAAGGGGCAGAGGAGAATAGAGCTAGTTTGAAGGTTTCTAATGATCACAAGGAAATATGTACTGTTAAGTAACAGAGATCACAAAAGGAGAACAGTTTTAATGTGTGTTGAGAAAGTAAGAGAGGACAGATAATGAGTTCAACTTTAGATATGAGCAGATTGAGGTGTCGCTAAGATAGTCTTACGGAGATTGTCAGATAGGTGGATGGAAATATGTAGCTGTAACATCAAAGAAAAATTAAGGTTGCAGATACAGATTTGTGAATCATTGGAATGCGTTACTATTTGAATTCATGGAAGTTTGCTTACTTATTTATTTATTTGTATATTCATACATTCAATGAATATTTGAGTGCCTACTTTATACCAGATGTTGAGCTGGAGACTTGAAGGTAAAAATAGTCAATAAGAAGAACATGATTCCTATTTGAGAGTGTTTATTCATGGGCATAAATGAGATTGATTTAAATAGAAAATGTATTAAGAAGAAAGAGGGCTAAATATGAAACATTCAGTTCAGTCAGTTCAGTTGCTCAGTCCTGTCCGACTCTTTGCCACCCCATGAACCACAGCATGCCAGGCCTCTCTGTCCATCATCAACTCCCGGAGTCCATCCAAACTCATGGCCATTGAGTTGGTGATGCCATCCAACCATCTCATCCTTTGTCGTCCCCTTCTCCTCCTGCCCTCAATCTTTCTCAGCTTCAGGGTCTTTTCCAATGAGTCAGTTCTTCGCATTAGGTGGCCAAAGTATTGGAGTTTCAGCTTCAACATCAGTCCCTCCAATGAACACCCAGGATTGATCTCCTTTAGGATGGACTGGTTGGATCTCCTTGCAGTCTAAGGGACTCTCAAGAGTCTTCTCCAACACTATAGTTCAAAAGTGTCAATTCTTCAGCACTCAGCTTTCTTTATAGTCCAACTCTCACATCCATATGTGACTACTGGAAAAACCATAGCCTTGACTAGACGGACCTTTGTTGGCAGAGTAATGTCTCTGCTCTTTAATATGATGTCTAGGTTGGTCATAACTTTCCTTCCAAGGAGCAAGTGTCTTTTAATTTTATGGCTGCAATCACCATCTGCAGTGATTTTGGACCCCAGAAAAATAAAAAGTTAGCCACTGTTTCCCCATCTATTTGCCATGAAGTGATGGGACCGGATGCCATGATCTTGGTTTTCTGAATGTTGAGCTTTAAGCCAACTTTTTCACTCTCCTCTTTCACTTTCATCAAGAGGCTCTTTAGTTCTTCACTTTCTGCCGTAAGAGTGGTGGCATCTGCATATCTGAGGTTATTGATATTTCTCCCAGCAATCTTGATTCCAGCTTGTACTTCCTCCAGCCCAGCGTTTCTCATGATGTACTCTACATATAAATTAAATAAGCAGGGTGACAATATACAGCCTTGACATACTTCTTTTCCTATTTGGAACCAGTCTATTGTTCCATGTCCAGTTCTAACTGTTGCTTCCTAACCTGCATACAGGTTTCTCAAGAGGCAGGTCAGGTGGTCTGGTATTCCCATCTCTTTCAGAATTTTCCACAGTTTATTGTGATCCACACAGTCAAAGTCTTTGGCATAGTCAATAAAGCAGAAATAGATGTTTTTCTGGAACTCTCATGCTTTTTTGATGATCCAGCAGATATTGGCAATTAGATCTCTGGTTCCTCTGCCTTTTCTAAAACCAGCTTGAACATCTGGAAGTTCACAATACACATATTGCTGAAGCCTGGCTTGGAGGATTTTGAGCATTACTTTACTAGCGTGTGAGATGAATGCAGCATTACTATATGCTATATATGTATATTTCAGGTTTATTATAGCAAAATTTCAGTTTTTCCCAGCAGCAGAATAAAGTACACAATGGTAGAAGTAGCAGAATAGCAAGAAAAAACAAAATACTAGTCTTGCACTTTGTTTTAGCTCTGTTGCTTTCTAGTGGATGACTTCTCTTGGCATTGATTTACCCATCAGTAGAATAAAGTAGGTGCCATATATGACCACTGGGGTACTGTCCTGATCTAATACATGGGGAGCATGGTTTGATAGTGTTAACGTGTGCAGTTCTATGTAAATATTATTAAAATAATAAATGAATAAGATAAATGAAAGGAAGAGGAGATAAATGAAAGGAAGAGGGATAGCCAGTGGTACAAATTGAGAAGTGGACAGCTGAGGGGCTAGGAGGAGAAACAATAGCAGCAAAGGATGTAGAGGTGTTCACGGAGGGTTGGCATATATGATATATGATGTTAAATAATGCAGAAGGGGTCAGTAAAATGAGGACCCAAGACAAAGCTACTGGAGTAGCAAATAGAATTTCATTAGCAACTTTTATTAGAGCACTTTTAATGTTGTGAAGAAAGTGCAGATCAGTCAAGTTTTCACATGAAAATTTGTTATGGAACCTATGGAGCATATCGAAGCTCATGTACCACACTTCTGTTTAAGAATTCTGAAGTAGGGTTTGGACATCTGGATGTTTCCAAAGCTTCACAGATAATTTTAACATGCATTAAAGTCTGGGACTGAGAACTACTGGGTTAAGGAGTAAATGACCCTAAATTGGAGTCAACAGGTAGAATATACCTTTTGAGAACATTTTGTACTCTCTCAAACCTTAACGGGCTTCAGAAGACTGCTGTAGTATTTTTCATTCCTTGGTAACACAGATTGCTTGTGTTCCTTTTTGGAATGGGGCTTAGAAGTACAGGACAACACTTTCTTTTTCCCATAACATTTTAAAGAACACTGACTCCTATTGTGAAATATTGTTTGTGTGTATAAATCAGCTTTTGTTGCAGTGTTCACTGTGTAGACAATTCTGTACTGTTTATCTGTCCCAGTTTCCCCTGACAAAATCAGTTAGCACATAGTAGATGATAAATGATTGTCAGTCAAATGAGTATATAAATGTGAAGTGAAATAGGATATTTACAAAGTACAATTCTGAATAAATCAATTGATAGGTTACTCACCTCAGTTTTTTCTCTGCTAGTATATAGAATTATGCAGATTATATAAATTGTATATGACCCTATGTTATGGTTCTCAAATCTTGTGTCATGGTTCTGTATGTAGGCAAAAGCAATTTTATAAATAAATTTTCAGTTCAATAAACAATACTGCATATGTTCACATTTCAAGTACATGTCAAAAGCAAAACTTGTCATTATTCCTTTCTACAGAAATAGTTAAATAATTTCTAAATATGATACTCTCCTACCTCAGTTAAAAAAGCCACTTTGGAAAACCAGATCATTTTGATGTCAAAAAGCTGAAAAAAAAAAAAAAACTATGTAAGATAGACACTTCCAAACCTTAATTATTTTCATAAACACACACACACATGCACACACTGCACATGCACACACACGCACACACAAAATGTTGATCTTTTCAGCCTCTGAAACAGTGCTATAAAGTCAATTTTTCCCATTGTTTTGATCTGTTGTGTGTTTGTTAAAGATGAAAATTTTTTTACATCAGCTTTCTGTTCTCTCTGCCACCATCCAGTAAGGACTTGGAATAATTTCTTTTCTTTATCTGAGTCCCTAAAGAGAGATGGCACCTAAACACTATTGCCAGGCTTTGGTACGTATTGTTTTACACTTTTGAAACTTTCAGGCCAAAATTCGTATGTTTCTTTACTAATACAGGCAGAAATTAATCAAAAAATTTTAACTGTGTTTTTTGTAAGGAGATGTTCTGAATATACCTTTCTTTTTCATTTGAAATAGGGATCTTCCTCTGGAAGAGCAGGCTACAGAGGAAACCAAGAAAAAGGTAGAAAAATCAACTGATCAACTGGTAAGAGAACATTTAGTTAACTAGTGTTGTATGAGAATAGAATACTAAATCTAATCAGCTTAATTACCTGCTAAAAATTTTCCTACCTTAGTGGTCATCACTAAATCTTTTTTTCATAATTGATATTTATGTCTCAAAGTTATCATTATAAACATCCATCCTCATTGTAAGTTAAAATTAGTAGATAAGTTAATTGACTTGCCCAGAAACATCACAATAGTTGGTTTTAAGATATCTCTTATTTATCCTTTTAAACAAAATTAAAAGAAGATGAACACTATATACATAGCAAGAAAACATACACAAAGAATTTTATTTAGTAAGAAATTTCATTGATTTGTTTCTGAAGTTAATTCTTTTTCCCGTTTTTATTTTTACTGTCAGAACCTAATGAACAACTGAATTATACACCAGTATAAAGTGCTTGTTACCAGCGACAATAGACTTTGTAGTAGATTAAAAGATACAGACACATTTGTGAATGTCATATGTATTTATATTTAGTGAAGCCTTGATGAGAGATATTTGTTTGATAGGTTCTTTTTAATGCAATTTTTACTTTCTACATAGTTTTATATAAAGAATGATGTCCACTTGCTAATAAAGTTTATAAAAGTTGTCTAGTAACTTAGGAGAAAAATATATAAACATAACATAACTATAGTATTCACCTGCATAAAGTTATTAAAAGAATGTTGCAGAGAAAATACAACATGTGCAAATGTACTTAGGGATGTACACTTGGACTAGGGGGACTGGATCCAGAAAAGCCATTTCTAGATACAGATTTCAGAAAACACAGGCAAAGGAGGTGGGAAGTTTAAGCTGAATTTGGCTTAGATGCTAAATCTATTTTGCAAAAATGGATTGAGTACCAACTATTTTGACAACTTAAAAATTAAAATTGTGTTTATAATAAGATTATTTAACAAACATGAAGCTTATAGTGTTTCCTGTTGAAAAAATTTTATTCACACCATGATCTTACTTGTGTACCAATTTGGTAATTAGTCTTAGATGATTCTGCAGTGACTTTTGACTGCAGAATTGATCTTTACTTTGAAATACACGACTGTTGACAGTGATCACTTCATTTCTTTGTAAATGTTTGTTTGGTTAATTTTTTATAAACTTTTTTAAATTAACTTTTTGAAAAATTTCAGACCTACCAAAAAAATTGTAAGAATAATACAGTGAACACATATACTCTTTACTGAGATTTAGCAAACTGTTAACGTTTCCTACATTTTTGGATGTAAATATAATGAAGTGTACCAGAAAATGCAAGATGTATTTGTTCGGTGTTGGAGGTGAAGGAAAGGGGAGAGGAGGGGGAGGAGTCGTCTGCATTGGACCACCTTTGTTTCTGGGTAGTCCCAGGCCTGTTAGAAACCTGGCAGCCAGAGTCACCCCAGGCCAGTGGCTCTTGTCTTCTCAGTGACTCTGCATGGTCTCTGCAGTGAAGATGTTTTCATACACATAGGTCAGTGGCTGCATGTCCATAATCCCAGAGTTTCAGAGTTATAAGAGCTGTGCTATCTTGTTAAGGTTTGAAGGAAGGCCATCATCCATCCGTTCCAGGACATTCATTCATTTCTGTTGCCCACTCCTTCTCACAATTAATGTTAATAGAAAATTCAGCAAGACTTGACTATATAGCTATTAGTTAACGATTAATTACAGCTTTGTTAAGTCTATAAGGATCAGTTCCTGAAGTCCCAAGATTATTACTATTTATTCAGCTCTGACTGAATTGAGATTAGGTGTAGATTATATTACGCTAATTTATTTATAACTTAAAGTATTACAGCTGCATTCATTTTCAAATTGCTGTATGTAGTAGCTGAAGCATTAGTCACATAATGTAAAAAGCACTATTGGAGATAGTTCTCATATTATTTTGTAGAATAACCTATTTAGTATTTTAAACTTAGCATTTTTTATGCCTTTAAATGGACCAGTTCCCTACATGCTGTGTATGTCTCAAGGGCAATCATTTTTTGAGGCTTCACTCACATGTAAGCCTAAAATCATTCATGTTTCCCATCCTGCTGCAGTAAAAAAAGATATAATTATTCCCATCTTTGAGTCTGTGCTTTGTTTATAGTTTATAAATGTGTTTATAGTGGCCTTCCCTAGGTTAAAGCTTCTTGAGTTCTGATCTTAAACTTCTGACTGTGTTGTACATTCCTTGAAAACAGAGAGAATGTCTTATGGGGATTTTCTGTAGTCTGCCACAGTGATCACATATAGCATGTAAAGATACTTTTAAAAAATACATCAACTGGTTCTAATATTGTAGTAAATAAGATCATGAATAATTGTGTAAATTTTTAAAATGTTGTCTAGGACAAACAGGAAAAGGACACACCTACTGACCTTGTCCCTGTTAACCTACTATTAGAAGTGAAGAAATTGTTGAATGCAATTAACACTCTACCAAAAGGTGTGGTTCCTCACATCAAGAAGTTCTTACAAGAAGATTTTTCTTTCCAAACTATGCAGGTAAGATAATAATTTGGTATTTCAGGCTGAAGTGTAGCTCTCTATGTATGACACGCTGTGTTCCTTTGCCTTCACACCACTGTCACACTCACACCACTTCTGACACTGAATATGTGGGTTTGGTCCCACACCAGTCAATTCTCCAGCATTCTCTGGGTGTCCCACAAGTCACTTCAGTTCTGACACTGTCTACCTAGAGTTAGCATCCCATCCCACAAGTTAAGAGCCCAGTCTCAGACTGCTCCCCTTCAGATGCCAATCACCCGTCCTCGTTTTTCCCAGTTCTTCTGACTAGCTGGCTATCCATTGGCCGCTTGTATACTCAGCCATGATCCCTCTTGAGTGCAGTAATTTGCTAGAACAGCTCATAAAACTCAGGGAAACACATTTACCAGTTAATTACATGACAAAGGATGTGATTTATGGAGGATACAGCTGAATAACCACATGAAGAGATACATAGGTCAAGAAAGGGTCTCAAGTTCAGGAACTTGTCTCCTTTTGGAGTTGGGGTTCACCATTCTCCTGGCATCTACAAACTGCAAGTTCTTCAAACCCCATAGTCTTAGAATTTTTACAGGGACTTCATCATGTAGGTATGTTGATTTATTAATTATTAATTTACCTTCCAGCTTCCCTCCCTTCTTTGGGGGTGTGGTGCTAAAAGTTCCAAACTTCTAATCATAGCTTGGTCTTTCTGGTGCCCAAGTGTCCATCCAGGAGCCCACCAAGAGTTACCACTTTAGAGCAAAAGACACTATCTTTCTGTCATCCAGGAAATTCCAAGGGTTTTAGGAGCTCTGTGCTTAGAGTCAAAGACCAAATATTGGCAGGAACTGGGGACAGAGATTAGTATGTGTATTTCTTATTACTTTACAATGACCCTTCCTCCCTCCCTCCCGTCTTTTCTCATTCTCTCTCTCCCTTTCCTCCTTCCGTCCTCTTCCTTCCCTTTCTTTCCTTCTTTCTTTACCACAACAGTGACACTAAGTTCTTGAAACTGTCTTACACCTTATGAAGGGCTTTGGTTTCGGCTTAGACTTTTATGAATTAAATAAATAAAGTTGATGCTAGCCTTTCAAGAATAATAGTAAGGATGTGGGTTAGTAGCTTATAAGGTCTAGGGTTGAATTCTAATAATGGGCAACATACTGTTCTGGAAGAGGGAACTACTTTCAGTTTTCCCAATTTGTAAAATGCTGATGGCTTTTTCAAAAATATAAAATAAAAAGAAAATAATAAGACTTCTGGATTTTTAATGAGATAAATATTCTAGAGAATATATTATTGATTTGCATCTTATAAATAGTTTTTCCAGATAATTTGTGAAGCTTTTGACACAGGATGAGTATCAGTTTGTAAATTAATGAAATTTCCCAAAGTTAAAGAAAATGATTATCTATTCTTTGTGACAGTTAATTGGGGGAAGGAGACAGAACACCATAGGTACCCTGAAAAGGCCACATTTACCTTTTCTGTGAAAGAATATATTATTAATTATTTCCATGAAACAAATTAATACTATTATGATTAAAAATTCATAAAAGCTCTAAAAATATCCAAAGACTTTATGTATGATTATAACCTTAAATGAGGTAATATACCAAAAATATGAATTCTGGTTTGAAATGGGTGGAATAATGCCACTTTTTTCCCTCTCATTTTTTGAAAATCACCTAGAAACCACAGTATGAAATAGAAATCAGTAGGCTTTATTGTATAAACAATAGCCAATTAGAAGGTAAGAATAAAAGAAAAGTACTTCTGATAGCAACAAAAAAAGATAAAATACCCAGGAAAACACTTAAGAAATACACAAGAAATAAATTGGTGTTTCTCAAAAGTTTTTTCTAAGCCACTTACATGAACCTATTCTGACCCCCATACTAGTCCCAAAGAATCAAAATCTTTGGGGGTAGGTCTGGGAATCCATTGTGGCAAGTACCCCGACACATCTATTTTTTCATATTTAAGTTTAGAAATCAATACTATATTGAAACAGTAAGTAAAAATTTCTAAGACTCTATTAAAAAGTAAGATATGAAGACCTGAATGGGAAGCAATAGATGTAGGAAGACACAGTGTGACAGAGATGCCAATTTTCCTGAAATAAAAATTTACAAATATCACAAAATTCCAATAAAAATAGCAAGAGGGTTTTCTATTTACTAAAAGCTAATTCTAAAGTTCAAATCAGAAATTAAAGGAAGACTAGCCAAGAAAATTATGAAAGCATTGTAGAAACAAAAAAGTGCTGGGAGTTTGCCCAGTTTGATGTTAAAACTTACTATGAAGCTCTAATAACTATAAGATTGTGTTACTTGCTCTTGACTCTATAGACAAGTCTGTAAAATAGAAGAGAGATTCCAGAAGTAGACCCAAATATATTCAGAAATTTTGTGTATAAGATAACAAGAATTGATAATACTAAAGGGGGAATGCACCAATTAGTAGTCCCAGAGGGAAATGTTAATACAGCTCTCTTAATAAGTGATAGAACATGAACACAAAGTTAGTAGAACTATAGCAAACTTAGTCTAATTTATTTGGTCTAATTCATTTATGTATATGTAACATTGAACCCAACAGTGACAAAAAATGTATTCTTTTTAAATACACATAGAATATTTACAAAAATTGACCATGTGCTAGTTCATAAAGCAAGTCTTATCAAATTTCAAAGAATCAAAACATGCAGAGCATGTTCTCTAACATTTGTACAATTGATTTAAAAATTGGTTATAGATACACAAACTAGAAAATCGTTGTTCCTAAATTAAGATATATACCTCTAAATCAAGGAACACAGCACATTGGACATTAGATACATTTTGGAACTAAAATATATGAAAAACATGTGTCATAATTTGTGTTATTAGATAAAAGCTGTGCTGCAAGGATTATTTGTAGCTTGAGATGCATGTAGTAGAAAAAGAAGCAAGGTTGAATGCCAGTCATCTAAACAAAATTCAAGAGTTTAAAGAAAGAACAGAAAATTTAAAGCAAAGTTTAAAAAAAGAATAAAAATAGACAAATCTAATGAAACAGAATAAAACAAATGTCTGGTAAGAATGTTAAGAAAAAAAGGCAAAAATAACCAAACTCATAAATAAATGAACTTGAACGCTTCAATACAAATTCCATAGTCATCTATTTTGTCTGAAGGGGATTAAGAGATACAGACTTACAGCTGTAAGATAAATAAGTCAAGGGGATATAATATACACCTAAGGAATATAGTCAATAATATTAAAACAAGTTTGTATAATGATGAATGGTAACTGGTGTTATTGCAGTCATCATTTTATGAGGATGTCATAAGAAAAATGTCAGATCACTATGTTGTACACCTGAAATATGTTTATTATAACTCAATAAAGCTATTTTTAAATTCTATAGTCATCTAAAGGATAATACAGAATTCTTCTACTTACAATGGCTGCCTGGGTTAGTTTCAGGCAACCTTCTTTTGAGAACTAGAAAAACAAGACAGAATCTTTCTTAGTAATGTTTACTTGTGCTTTTCTTACAGATCACTTAATTCAGCTAGGGACTGAGATGATTCCAGGTTTCACTTCTGTTCTATGAAGTGTCTGTGGCTTACGCCTTGTAGCAGATACTGCCAGTGCCCTGCCCATACTCCTTGGCCCCTTGAATCATTTTGGTATACTCTGGCCAGTCTCTAGTTTTCAATGTCTTCATCTCTACATTTCAGGCTTTTTTTCTGAAACTGCATGCATGCATGCTCAGTCACTCAGTCGTGTCCAGCTCTTTGCAGCCCCATGGACTGTAGCCCAGCAGTCTTCTCTGTCAGTGGGGTTTTCCAGGCAAGAATACTGTGAGCAGGTTGCCATTTCCTAGGATCTACCCAACCCAGGGATTGCACCCACGCCTCCTGAGTCTCCAGCATTGGCAAAAATATTCTTTACCATTGTGCCTGGAACTGCAGAAAGCTATAATTCTCACAGAATTTTAGAGATCTCAAGGAATTAGTACACTCCCTGACCTTAGAAAGCACACCATCAATAAACCTTGGGAATTACTATATAAAAAATCCCATTACCCTCTCACCTTAAGTTGAATAACACTGAGGCTGAATTTTTCAATGGTTTCCTGTTGCATTAACCCTAGTCAGCCACTGTGGTAGCTAGCTTAATAACACACCTTTTAATTTAAAGCCTGCTTTCTCTTCCCTGATTCCCTTCTTCACCCCGCTACCATTGTTCTCTGCGCCTCTCAAATAAACTACTTGCATTCATATCTTTGTGTTAGGGTCTGCTTCCAATTGGAACCAAGAGACACTTACTCTAAGGATAAATTTCTTCAGGATTCTAACCAAAAGAATGAGGTGTTTGCCAGGCACACTGTTCCTTGGTAGGTTATGCACTCCCAGTTTCCCTCCCAGCTGCGCAACTTTGCTGAAAGCTTTGTCTAGCATTTCAACCTCTCAGCCATAACTGAATACAGCAGTTGCATTAAGAAAAAAAGTGGCTGCAAAATCAGTCTCTTGTGTCTGGGCCTTCCTCCTCTCTTGCATGTTGGCCCCATAGATTTTAGTGCCTTGGTAGTCCATTGCTTTAAAAAAAAAATTGTACTTTATCCAGCTTTCTAAAGTTCTGATTGAGAGTATTGCTCTGAAACTACCTAAACTGTTTGGCAAAGGTAGAGCTTCAGTGTTATATTTTATATACCTTTTCAGATTCAAGAGATATTCTTGAGTATATGGTTGGATAAATGAGTCTGAAATTCAGATGATAGTTCTGAGCTCAAAATATAAATTTGGAAACTGTCAATGTGTAGACAGTATTTAAAAAGATGATGCTATATTACTTTATCTAGGGAATGTGTTTTGATGGAGAAAATTGAATGTTATGGAGACTGAAGTTAAGTATCTAGTTAGCCTAGGAGAAGAACAGGAAAGTATTGGAAACTGGAAACTGAGTTAAAGTATAGATTAAATTTCCCCTATAGATAGTAGTATATCATTAAACAAAGAATGTAATTTAAGCCAAGCACTTTGGGGTACAAAGCATTGGGGAATGCACCCAAAGATAAGACATACGTCTTCCTTTATTTCATCCATATAAGTAACAAACTATGGTACATAATAACTTATGTATTAACTTGGTTTCAGTTAGATGACAGCATAAGATGGTTTGCCCTGGTGTTGGCATCTTCCTGCTTACTAGAGTTTCAGGGCTGGAAAGAAGTTTTTAGCTGTTAGAGAATAGAAGATATCAGAAGGAAGTGGGATTATGACTCTCCTCTGAAGTAGGAGTGGACATTACCAATTCTTTTGCAAAGTTGGTATTTAGTATTTTGAGGAAGTAGTTATAAAGAAGATTTGTCAAATTACTTAAAAGCAAACAAATATAAGGACAGTTTTATCTAGGTTGTGTGGATTTTTTTAAGGCCTCTTTATTCTTTAGATTTTCTATGATGAGGGTATATTATTTGTTTAATAAAAATAAATGTTGATGTTTGTTGTAACTTAAGGAAATTTTTGACCAAATTATTTTTCACAGAGAGAAGTTGCAGCCAGTAACCAGATCGGGGAGGAAGTTGTGCCTGCTTTGACCTTACGCCTCTTAATAGCACGGCTCGGAGCAGCGCTTAGGGACATCCACGCTACTAATTACACTGTGCGTGTTTTCCTTTGGAAGTCTGAAATAGTGGACTTGGACAACATTTTTCAGTGAGAGAACATCCAGTGTATGCTCATTTTAGGGTATAGGCCAATTTGTATTTTCCTTACTTACCTCTGGAAATACACATAAATTGATTTCTTGCATTTCTCTTGTACTTTCTCATGACCACATCTGTTTAATGAGCCTATTCTAGTTTCCTTTCCTACCATAAAATTGTTCATCTTAAATAGAGAACCTTGAACTAGTATAAATGGGCTTTCCCAGTTAGACATGAAGAGTTATGAACTTCAAAGACTACTTCTTCCTTTCCTCCTGATTAATAGACATCTCCTCTTTTTACTGATATTTCTTTCTTTAATTGAAGTATAGTTATTTTACAGTTTACAGTGTTAATTTCTGTTGTACAGCAAAATTATTTGGTTATATATACATTTTTTAAAATATTGTTCTCCATTATGATTTATCTCAGGATGTTGAATACAGTTCCTTGTACTGTACAGTAGGACCTTTTGTTTATCCTTTCTATATGTAATTCTACTGGTATTTCTGTATTTGTAAAAATTGGAATTTCTATTATCTGTGTAATTTTGTGAGATACAATTGACAAGACATACATTTGAGGTCAAATGATACTTTAGAAATAGAGAAAAATCTGAGGAAGCATAAACATTGTTTCAAAAATAAGAACCAATAGAACAGGACATAAAAGGAAGAGGCAGTTCTTTGAATAATTGGGTCAGTAAAGTAAGCTAAGTTTGCATACATGTAAGAATATGGATTAGAGTTATCTTCAAGAAAGGACTACCCAGACATCAAACAAAGTAGCCTAAGACACCACTCCCATGTTATAATGGTGTACACAGAGATGGAAAAATGATATTTTTTTAGGACTTTCAGGACAGATTCTAAGAGGTGATATATACTACCCTAGAGGAATTCTGCTGCTGCTAAGTCACTTCAGTCGTGTCCAACTCTGTGTGACCCGATAGACGGCAGCCCACCAGGCTCCTCCGTCCATGGGATTTTCCAGGAAAGAGTACTGGAGTGGGGTGCCATCGCCTTCTTTGAGAGGAATTCTAGATGGGGTCAAAAGAGGGAACAAGGAAAAGGGAGTTTGCATCCACCTGTAATCCCAAGAACTTCTGGGACACTGCAGACCTGCTGTTTCTCCTAGTGACCAGGTTGCTAAGCAGTTAAATAAATAATTGTAAAATCAGCATTAATAGATGCTGATTGCTTAGCCTTCTCTAGGCATTACTTCAAAGATGAGTCTTACTGCTAATGGAAAAATTTCCTCTTTTGGTGGCACTTTTGAGCAGAATTAAAATCGTCATGATCAGAGCAGTGTACAACTGTATCCAGATGGCTCTCTGATCCTCAAGGTCTTCAAGGAGAGGTGAAACACCCTTTTAGGAAGTGGCAGTCAGGTGTGGGGGTTGGGGGGGACTGCTGGGGTAACATCTCTATATCCACTTAGTCCTATCACCTGAGATGATCTCCGTTAGTGGGGGGAAGGTACGAAGCAAAGGGCAGGGCATTTGATTAGACCATTTGCATCTTTAAGTTTCTTTATGTTCTAGTTATAGCGTCCCCACATTTCTGCATCTCATCTTGTTCTCAGATGCTTTTTTTGTTTAGAATTGTATGAGCCAAAGGATGTATTGTATTATTTATGAAGCTAGTTTTTTTAAAGTTACAAAACAATAGCTCACACCTGTTAATGTTTGCTATTTAACAAACACTGTTCTAAGCACTTTGTAAGGATTAGCTCATTTACTTTTCACAGGCAGCCCATCTTCTTACTCTCATTTTACAGATTAGAAATTGGGGCATGGAGATTAAATAATTTGCTTAATTAATCAATTAGTGGAGTTAAGATACAAACGCACATAGTCTTGGCTTCAGAGTCTCTGCAGAGACAGGAAGTTTAAGATGGAAGCCAATTAGATGTTTCAGGGGAGTTTATTTATAACCCTACTTGGTCCATTGACAATAAATATACATGCATATTTCCACTAAAATCAATTTGAAACTGAACTAACCCCAGCCAATTATAAATACATACTGTTGGCCATAAGAAGTGGGCTAGTTGAGGATAGTTAGATCAGTATAAAAAGAAAGCATCTTGTATTCTATAGGTGCTTATAATCCTTATGTGCCTGAAAAAAAATCTTGCTTTTAGTAAAGGGGAAATCTCATGAAAAAAGTCAATGTGACAAAAGATGTGGTTATACTTCAGTCACTATAAAGCTCATGAACAGAATGAGCACTATTTTTCTCCACAGATAATTTATTTTTTAATTTCAAGATAATTTTAGATGTAGAAAAATTGCAAAAACACAATATTGTACAATGCAAAAGTACAGAGAGGTGTTGCTGTGCCCTTCACGCAGTTTCCCCCAGTAGTGACATCCACGTAACAGCAGTGTATTCTCAGAACCGGGACACTGACACTGGTACAGTGTGTGGTGTCAGGAGCCTCCAAGACTCTCACCTTCAAAAGGGCTCATGAGATTCAGTATATAGTTGTACTCACACTGAGATTTATTACAATGACATAGTAAAGATATGCCCAGATCATAAGTGTTAACACACAGGCAGAGCCTAGAGGAATCCATCTTTGGGCATCCTTACGTATTTTCCCTTCCATGAGGGGTCACACAGTACATTCCCTCTTTCCCTCCTTCACAACAAAAACGCAGCAATGTGTGTGTGGTATTTTTGCCCAGGAAAGTCCATTAGAGAATCACTGATGAAGATTTTTACGGAGGGACTTGCCTGGTGACAATGGATAAGAATCTGCCTGCCAGTGCAGGGGACATGGGTTTGATCCCTGGTCCAGGAAGATCCCACATACTGTGGAGGAACTAAGGTCTGAGCAGCTTAACTACTGAGCCTGCCCTCGAGAGGCCTTGAGCTGCAGCCGCTGAAGTCTTTGTGCCTGGATCGTGTGTTCCGAAACAAGAGGACCCACCACAGCAAGAAACCTGCAGAGGCCAGCATAGCACTGCAAATCGATTACCCTCCAATTAAAAAGAAAGTGTGCCCACCACGGTGAAGAATAGCATCCCTACTTGCCGCCACTAGGGAAGGTCTCAAACAACTGTGAAGACCCAGCACAGCCAAAAGGAAAGAAACAAAAAGATTTTTATTGGGGGTTGGTCATGTGGGCATCCTCTGTCTCAAATGTGACAAAGTTCCAGACTCACAGAAGAAACTTCCTGATGTTCAGCATAAGTTGCATCTTTGGCGCAAATAGTCTGAGCACAGTCAACCACCCCTGTTGGAGAACAATGGGAATACTCTTGATATCCAGATTTCCAGACACCAGCGAAGGGTCAGACTTGCAAGCAGGCCTTTCAAAGGGTAACATTCTCAGGCCAGATATGATGAGGTTTTTATGTACAGCTGTGTATAGGTCTCTGCCGTTTTGTCACAAGTGTATATGTTTGTAACCACTGCTGCAATCATGATAAAAGAACTGTATCCTCTCCACGAAAATCTTTTGCTGCCCCTTTGCAGGCAGCAGTCACATAACACCTTTTACCATCCTCGCTCTTCCTAATCCCCAATCTATTTTCCATCTCTGATTCAGCAGAGGCTGTTTTTAAATAAGGGCTTTCCAGATGACACTAGTGGTAAAGAACCTGCCTGCCAATGCAGGAGACAAAAGACGTGCTTTTGAGCTCTGGGTCGGGAAGGTCCTCTGAAGGAGGACGTGAAGGGAATATTTGTGTTTCAATTTTTCATTAAGTAAGTGATAAACTTTGTTTATACTGTTATAACAAAACCACCCATGAACAGTAAAAGCTTCGATAAGAGACCCTTGTGCTTTTTAAGCTGGATGGTAGATGCTTGGCTATTTGTCGTTATCTAGAGTGTTTCTAGGGGCTCCCCTGTGGCTCAGGTGGTAGAAAGCCTGCCTGTAACGCCAGAGGCCTGGGCTCAGTCCCTGGGCCGGGAGGATCCCCTGCTGAAGGAGATGGCAGCTCATGCCAGTATTCTTGCCTGGAGAGTCCATGGACAGAGGAGCCTGGTGGGCGACAGTCCACAGGTTGCAAAAGGTTGGACAACTGAGCGACTAACATAACAACAGAATGTTCCTACACCTAAAATACAATGAGAAAAAGAGAGAGTTAGAATTTTTTGGAAAGTTTTAGTGGAATAAATACTCTTGGCATTTGCTTTTATTTTCTTTGCTCAAACTATAATGTTTTATTTTGAAATTGTTAACTGTCTTTCTTCTGGGTCTAATTATTAAATACATCTAAAATGAATTCTGTAGTGATTATTAGATGATTGATAATAAAATGATAATTTAGCTCCTTTTAATAGTTATTAAATAGGCCTAGGGTATTTAATAAAACTTTCTATACTAAGAAGTGGCATAGTCTAAATAATCAACTAAGGTACATTTTATCTTTTTAGGCACATCAGATTAATATTGGTTATTACCTGACATTACTGTTTTTGTATGGAGTAGCCCTCACTGAAAGAGGAAAGAAGGAGGTATGTAGCATGTGTTATTTGTCCATTCAAATAAATCTTTTCACATACTTTGACTTCATTTTAGTAAGTTAAAATGTGGATTTTTTAAAAAATTCTCTAAAAACTGAAACCATTCCATGACTTTTCTGTCATGTATTTAAGATATAGAGTAATTCTGCCAGAGACTATATTGTGAAACTAAAAATATTGATAAGATAAACTTAATGTAAGCGTATAGCCTTCAAATACCATTTGTATAAAACAGAAAATTTTGTTTAGCTTGTTTCACTTACACATTTTAGTCCATTTTCTAGTGTGTTAGTGTGGTTTAATCTCTCTGGTTTTTATCTTACCCTCTTACATAAAATATGAATTTGACCTCAGTTCTTCATCAAATAAAGTGCAAAAGTGAAACTCTAGGAGTTAACTGGGTTATTTTTAAGGGTCCTTACAAATTTAACATTTTCTTTTGCTTATTTTTAATGATTTCTCAATTTCAGCCTTGATATCTCTTTTACTTTTTGTACTCTTAAATTTAACTCTCTTCTTGGCTTCATAAATAAGTCTAACTTGTTAATTAGGTGAAGTAGAATTTATAAGCACCAAACTGAAAACATTTCCAGTTTAAATAATTTCACATAGTGCTAATTATTGTTTAGTGTGTTGTGCTAGAGGATGTTTTAAAACGATGCAGCACTTTTTTTCCCTCAGGGAGATTGGGGCCATTGTGCCTATTCTAATAATAGTAACTGAAACATTTATTAGAACTGATTCTGACCTGTACTTCTATACCTATATTGCTTATAAACAAGATGATCCTTCCCCAAAAGAGACTATATGTGTGGTCAAAAAGTCACTTATTTACTATTTTAAAAATTAGGAAGATTGGCGCTCTGATTAGGAAAAAAAAAATTAGAAAGAATTATGTTCCCATAGTCATTAGAAGAGCCCTTATTTTTGCTGGTAATATTTGTCAGTTTTAGACATAAAGATTATTATTTTAATGTTTCACTTTGAAACACTAAACATCTTAAGTTCTTTTGTAACTGTTTTATTAAGCACTAAGTACATTTTTATGGGATCATATACAGAGATTCTACAAATAGAGATGTGAATAAATGACCAAATGACTGAATCAGTATTAAAGCTGCTCTATCTTCTTTAGTTTGGCGAATAATTGTTTATTGTAAAAGGAGAAAATAATTTTTATATCAACCAAACCTAATTTTATGTTACTACAGGATTATATAGAAGCTGAGAATAAATTTCTAGTGATGAAGATGGTGATCCAAGAAAATGAAATTTGTGAAAACTTTATGTCATTAGTTTATTTTGGCCGTGGTTTGCTTCGATGTGCTCAGAAGAGGTAAGAATTTTAATTAATGGGTAGTTCTTGCCTGTTAACTTTCAGCATTATGTAATGGACAGTATACCAGGGATCGTGACATTTGTGCTCTATTGATTCTTTCTCTGTCACTGATTCTGTAGACCATTTCATTAATGTACTTGAGAATGTTAAATATAAAATTTAACAGGCCATGGCAATAAAAGGTGGTATAGCATAGGCATTAGGAACATAGACTTTGGAGTCTGATAGGCCGGTTCAAATACATTTTATACCACTTACCTGATATACGACCCTAGGAAATTTAGTGTTGCTAAGCCTAATCTTTGGAACTAATAACAGTACCCACCTCATAAGGTAATTAACATAGTGCTCTGGACACAAAACTACTATTCTTATTACATAATTAATAATTATAGTAATTAATATTATTACCACTTGGAATGGCTGTTTAAGTTATAAATGAGCTTATAACACATTGAAAGTGTCCCAGTTCTGAGTCGAGGAGTATTGGGTATTACATGGTTAGGTACAGAGGAATGTATATGGGCTATCTGTTCACTTCCCATGTGTATGTTGTTTAGTCACTAAGTCATATCTAACTCTTGTGGAGCTGCATGGACTGCAGCCTGCCAGGCTTATCTGTCCATGGGATTTCCCAGGCGAAAATAGTACGGTGGGTTGCCATTTCCTTCTCCAGGGGATTTTCCCGACTGAGGGATTGAACATGAATCTCCTTCTTGACAGGGAGATTCTTTACCACTGAGGCAACAGGAAAGCCCTCTAATATGTATATCCTTAGCCATTTGTAGAATCAATCATTCATTTTATTTCTAAGCATTTATTATATATTAGAGACTGCTCTAGGTGTTAGGGGTAAAATGGTTTACAAAACAGTTTCTTTCCTCATTTAACTGACAGTATAGTGAAGCTTTGTAGACCTTAATCAAATAATCAGTTATTTAAATAATCAATTATGAAATGTGATAAAGAGCTATGAAGGAAAATATAATAAAGAATTAAAGTCCTTGTTGGAACCTCAGTGTGTTTCTTGGGAATCAGAAGTCTCCTTGAAGAAATAATGTTTGGCTGAGATCTGAAGGATGAATTAGGAAAAATTTACTTATGCAAATCCTTATGAAGGATTACTGCTGGGCCCAGCTGTTGAATCCCTAAAAGCATCACTTAATATGGTAGTTCCTTGATTCTTAGAAAGGCTGATCTTCCATCCTCTGGCGTGCTTGGTTTTTATTATCCAGAAGACGTCCTGCTTCCTGTTTATTAGCATGATGTCCTCAATGTAGTTTGCCACTGGATATTTCACGAAAGTCAGGATAATCAAAATCCCTTTAATACTATGGAGAGAATTAACACAGCTCTGAGTCAAAGAGTCTGGACCGCTGTCCTTCCTTCAGATATGTGAACTACTGCTTATTTTCTTTATTGATGGACATCGAGAACCCATTTTCCAAATCACTGACACTAGAAAACCCAGTCGTCTGGCAGCAGCATTTCCTTTCGTCGCTGGCCTGCAGAGAACAGCCCGCCACTGGGCTGCTCCCGGTGTCCTCCTTACTCTGCGTTTCTTCACTGCATTGATGAAACGGAGTGTCCTCTGGGCCTTTCTAGGCTACCCTTTCTCGTGGTGGAGTCAATGGTGTCATGTCCATTCTACCGTCGTTTCCTCCCTGACCTCTCTTGAATACTCTGCTAAGAGATTTTCTACGTTTTCATCTCTGTTACTATCATAGAGGCCATTGGTTGTGTCCAGGCTTCAAGTAGCCTCAGCAACATGTTAGGATTGGCTTTGCATGTCCTTGCATTCAGTAAATGCTGAGTTATGGGAGAGTTGCCCCCTATCAGTATACATTTCCCTACCCAGCTATATATTTGACCATTGGTTTAGCTCTCTTAAGATCCATTCCCAGACACATTCCTGCCTCTGCATAGTAATGAAAGTACTGAAGTCTGCAGTGCTTATGGTGAACAAGCCTTTTCTTCCTCTTTTTTCACTTGAGCTTTGCTTGTACCCAGTCCTAGATTTTTCAGTCTTTAGGCAATGAGCAGAGATAGGGGAGGACTTTGAGAAGGAAGAAGAGCATCATCTTTTGGGACATGTACCTCAGATGAGGTACTGACATTTGCATGGTCTCCTCGTTCCATATCAGAGTCCTAATAGTATAATAGTCCTGTTGAGACTATGCTTTTGGTTTTTGCTGTTGTTCTATCCTTGTGATTAAATACTGGGTCTTATTTTCAGCATGGTCTGCCTTTATGTTTAGAGTTGGTCAGATTTCTTTAAATGTTACCATAGAAGCCTTTTAGCTTTCACGGAGTACCCTTAGTTGATAGTAGTAGCCACTTTCTTCCACTGTGTTGTTAAATCTGGGCCTGATTTTCAGCACAGATTATCTTTATGGCCGTCAGAGCTGAGGGTCTCTATAAAGGCTGCCCTCGAGGCCTCTGTCTTTCGTTGTGTCCTGAGTCAGTCATTGGCTGACCTGTGCCTGTCATTCTCTTTCTTCATGGCTTCCAGGACAGTAAACAAAAGCCAGCCAACTCTACAACCCCTTTAATTACCATGGCCCCATACTGTTCAAGCTTGAGCTACTACATAGTCTATCACCTGTATTTCATCCCAATCTACTACAGGTGAGACTCCTAGTGTTTGTATTTTTGTAGCATGCTGAACATTATTATCCTACTTACACACACACACATACACACACAAATGGGTTGCTTATTGTCTAATTGGTAAGCTAATTACACAGTGTTGTTCAAATTAACCTTTTAAAATGCTTTGCAGATATAATGGAGGACTGCTGGAGTTTCACAAAAGCTTACAAGAAATAGGAGATACAGATGATCATTGGTTTGATATAGATCCTACAGAAGATGAAGATTTACCTACAACTTTTAAAGTAAGAAATTCTTTAAGAGTAACATTTAATCTGTGGCCAGTCAGAATCATCTTTGATAAAGTGCAGTTTATGCTATGTCATTCTATAGCAAGCATATTCCTTTATTGGGCATTCGCTTTTTGTATGAGAAAACTTTGATTCCATTATCTGGTACAGAATGTGAGTATGATTCAACAAGTAGAGACAAGTGAAGTGGATGTGTTAGCATTTCCAGATAACAAGAAGATTAAAAGTTGTACTAGTTCAATACTTCACATGGCTAGAGATAAATGTAAGTTAACTTCTTTTTTCTAATTATATTTGCCATTGTTTTGTTGTTGATTTAAATTTTAAAAGTATTAAATGGTCACTTCAGAAAACTTTAAAAATGTGAAAATGCCAAAGATAAAAGTAAAATTCACCCATATATTCCTTCAAATGGCAAAACTATTGTTAGAATTTTCATTTGTGTCTTTCCATATACACATGTATAAACACTTTTTATTTTTAGTAAATTGGTGTGATGTTATATACATTGATTTATAGTATAAAAAATATACTATTGTAAATTTGCCAGCAAATAGGTTATTGTATATTGAAAGTATAATTTTTCATAGTCTATCATAAACTGCTTTAACTTGGTTAACCAATTCCCTGGTATTGAATATTTAGTTTATGCTGAACATTCTAGTTTTTTAGTATTAAGAAAAGTGATCTTTTTTTATTTCTCACATCGTTGCCTTAGTGTAAATTTCTAGAGGTGGAATTGTGAAGTGTTTACACACTTGTATAAGTTATTTATGTGTTTCTACATTTCCTCCCAGAAAGTTTGTCCTGATTTATATTCTCAAGACGGAGTATAAGAATTGCTCTTTGTCCTCCCGCGCTTAGCCGCTCAGTCGTGTCCGACTCTTTGCGACCCCACGGACTGCAGCCCGCCAGGGTCCTCTGTCCATAGGGATTCTCCAGGCAAAAATACTGGAGTGGTTGCCATGCCCTCCTCCAGGGGATCTTCCCGACCCAGGGATGGAACCTAGGTCTCCCACACTGCAGGCGGATTCTCTACCATCTGAGCCACCAGGGAAGCCCACGCTCTCTGGATATTCTTTACATTTTGGGTAATTTTTACCCATCTAATAGCCATATTGGTCACTTTTTATTTGTTTAATATGAAAATAGCTACATTAGGCTTCTCTTGGTTAACATTTGAGTGAGGTATCTTATTCCAAACTTTTACTTTAAACCTTATATTTTAGCTGACTTTAAAGCCAAATGCATTCCTCAAATTAAAGAGGGATGTTTCATAAAAATAAGAAATTCAATTTTTCTAGGAATCGTTAACAACTCAAAAGTTTCTATGTACCTAATAATATAGCCTCAACATACTTGTGTGACAAAAACTGGTAGAACTAAAAGAACTAGAAGACTTCCTAGTCACAGTGGAATATTTTAATATACCTCTCTCAGTTATCAATAGTATAAGCAAGATAATCTTTGGTGTTTGGTGAGATAATCATATGTCTTGTAACTTTGACTTAATATATTAAGGTAGTAATTTTATGCATTTAAAAAAAATATTGAATTTCTGTGTTTACCTGAAGCAGCCCTTATTTTGGTCTTGGTTGTTTTTCTCCTATTCCTTCTCCTTTTAAAATATTTTTGTTTCTTACCCAAATTTTATTTTTGTTTTATGCCCGCTAGTACATGTATACAGTTTGTCAAGTATATTAAAAGATTTTAACAGTCTGTGGTTCATCATTTCTAATTGTAGTTTCTGACTATAGGTAACTTCTTTCAACCCTCTAGGCATTTTCCTTTGATACTAACCTGTACTTTTAAAAAGCTGTACCGCTGTTTAAAAAATATTCTCCGTCTTAGGTATCATCTTTTGATTTCCTACTGTGGAAGATGAGGGTTTATTAATTTCCTTATACATCTCCTTCACACACACACTTCCCATTCCTCATTCTATTAATAGTTACATGTTTTTATTAAATTGGCTTTAGAGTTTCTCTGTATTTCTGGGGATACCCTTGCCCCTCTCCTGTGTAAATCCCCTGTTGGATTAAGTTTTCTTCTTTCTAGGTGTACTCCCTTGTTTTGGGTGAGTAGCTTTCATCCGGCAGCTTCCTAGAAAGGGAGCTTAATGGGAGATAAATTTTTTGAGACCTTTCAAGTCTCAAAATAATTTATACTTTGTACACTTTACTTGTATCTTGCCTGGGTGTAAAATTATAGGTTGAAAATAATTTTCCTTTAATTTTAAAAATTATGTTTCTATTATCATTTAGCTTCCAATAATAGTACTTTTGAGATATTTGATGTCATTCTGATTCTCAGTCTTTTGCTTGTAACCTGTTTTATTTTTTTCTTTCTGGGAATTTTTAGGATATTCTGTATATCCCTAGTGTTCTGAACTTATTTATTTTTTTTTGGTGCTAGGACATTTTATTTTTTTGATAATTTCTTCTTCATTTTCTCTTTTCTTTTTGAGATGTTTGTTATTCAGCTGCTTGACATCCTGGACTGAATTTCTGACTTTGTTATTTCTATGCTCATTTTTATTTTTTGTCTTTTCTACTTTGTAGAGATTTTCTTAACTTCATCTTTTTGCATAGAGCTAGTATTCAGCCAGTATACACTAGTGCTATCATACTAGTTATTATAATATTAGAATATTTCCATACTACTTGGAAAATAGTTTCTGCCTCAAAAGTAGTTTGGGTAACCAGCTGCATTCCAGATGCCCTGTACTCTTTCCCAGCCCTCTCTCCCCATACTTCTCTAACATTCAGTAACTAAAGGTTTAATGTCCAGTAGAGCAGAGTGCATTCATGATCCTGGCTCTGGCTGTAGGTGAGCATGTTCTTATCTGTTTTCATTGGTGCCTATGCCTGTCAGCCCACCAAAAGTTCTACTTCCCAGACATTGTGATTCGTTTTTAAAGGAAACTTAGAGGGCTGGCCTGTACCCTTTATCTGGCATTGACAAATTCCAGGTGAGTACCACCAGAGGCCTGCCTTATCCTCATGTGTCTCCTGCGATGAACTTACCCTATTGGAAGAAGATCATACTTATAGAGATGTTGGCACCCTTGTAGAGTGGTGACCTTCATATCGTTATTATTTTCAACATGATTGTTGTTTCTATCCTTCTGTTGAATTTTTAATTTCCATGATTATTTCAGCTACCATCTACCAAGAGTTTTCTTGTTATGAATGTTCCTTTTTCTAAAAAAATAATATCCTGTCCTTTTTTCATGCATTTGAGATGTGAATGTTAAAGGTAGATGTTAACCGGATCATTTGAGGCTTTATAAATAGTGGGGTGTTATAATTAAATTATAGTAAAGTATGGTTTATAGAATTTAGGACTCTGAATAGTTTCTGTATTTATGGTAAAGGAGGAGTTAATAAAATAGTTGCAAATTGTAATCAGTGTTTTAAAGAAAAACAAGGGACTGGGATAGAGAAAATGGAGGAAATGTAGAACACACTTATATACCTACACGTATCCATATTTATATGTATACATGCATAAATGTGTATGTGTGTCTATGTGTAGTGCTTAGGAAAGGCCTTTCCAGGAGGTGATACTTAAGTTGGAAGCACAAGACTACTGATGGAACTAGCTCTTTAAAGAGTAGGGGAACGACTTTCTAGGTAAATAGAATTGAGTGGGAAAAGGCCCTCAGGCCTTGAAGAGCAAGTTTGAGGAACTGCAAGTATAAAACCTTGTGAATTTTATAGGGAGTGAGGCTAGAGATGAATTTGAAGAGATGAGCCAGCGATGGATAGGTATAATGGGTTCAGATGCTGCAAGTTCTGCAGAACCTTGAGGTCAGTCTTAATAAAGCAGTGGGAAGGTAGGTAGGTAGTGGGAAGCCACTGAAGAGTTTCAAGCAAGAAACTGACACGATCTTTGCTTCTTTGTAGAGTGCTTTGGAGCATAGCAGGCAGGGATGAGGGAGACCAGTTAGGCAGTTGTTACAGTCAGTAATTTAGGTAAGACAGGGAATGGTACTAATGGAGAGAGAATTAGAAAAAGTTACAATATATTTTGGGAGAAGTCTCAACAGTATTTGCTTATATATTGCATGTAAAATGTGATGGAATAACTATGTGATGGATGACTTCAAGCCTGCTGGTTGAAAGCTAAATCGATTGTGGTAGATGTGCTTGATGTAAGTTCCATGAGGACTAAGTATATATTGACCTTCTAAGTTCACTGCTGTATCCTTAACATCTAACATTTCCTAGCATTCCCAACAACCTAGTCCATAACAGGCAATCAGTAAATATTTATTGAATGAGTGAATATCAATGACTGGGGCAGAAAATAAGAAGTAAGGAACAAGCAACAGATTTGGTGGGCAACTCAGTAGATCAGTATTGAACTATTAAGCATTAGATATGTGAAACGACAGTAGCTATATACATACCATGAGTCCTGTCCTTTTATTTCACCATCTGCACTTACTATTGGCTGTCCTCATAGGATATACTGCTTTCATATGGATAGGTCTTTGGATGCTTCTTCTTTATTTCTTGACGTTTAAAAATTTCTAGTTGATTTGGTTAAAATGTTTTTATTCTTCATAAAATTCTGAATGTCATTAAACAAATGTTATGAATGCCGACCTGAGGCATAAAATAGTCTATAGAGGTTTACTTTATCATGGCATATACCCTCAGTATGTGTGGGTATGTCTCTCTAAGGGGTAGTATTAAGGACTTGTTAACTTAGACTTGATAATATGTTTCACAGCCTTTAGCCAGCATTTTAAATTATGGAAATTGCATTCAAAGTTGTAACTCTGAACACTGGAAACATATTTCTGGTCCTGCCCATTTTGGCTGAGCAGCCTGTTGCACCAATACAGTGGTACCACTGCCAACATGGTGTCTTGGGGGCCAGTTCTAGCAGGGACTCTCCTGGGTTTCCAACAATTTGTTGTTTCTCTGTATCTGTATCAGAGAAAGTAATTCTTGTTAGGAACCCACTGGCTGCTTTGAGTTAGAATGGAATATAGATGTATAGCTTCGAATATAGACTTTTTTCACATTCTCTGTGTTTATATTCAGTAAGAAATTTAATATTTCATGTTTAGGGCCCTTATGTGTATTGTTTACTTTGAATGAGGGAAATAGGTTCTATAACTATTTTAAAAAAATCTTCAAAAAAGGATATGAAATGAACCTATAACTTAATATAAATGTGTGGCCTTTTTATTACTGATTCATAAGATTTTTTATTTTTAAAATTTAGGACCTTCTTAATAATTTCATCAAGACAACTGAGAGTAATATAATGAAGCAGACCATTTGCAGTTATCTAGATTGTGAGCGATCTTGTGAAGCCGACATTTTAAAGAACACCAATTATAAGGTACTATAATTATCAATCAACTGTTTTAAAAATGTAATAGTAAAATTAAACTTAGGTGAAAATTATTATATTATCATTCATCAAAATACTCTTTAAAAAGTACTTCATTTATTGTTCATAGACTTTTTGATAGCAGCCATTCTGATTGATGTGAGATGGTACCTCACTGTGGTTTTGATTTGCATTTCTCTGATAATGAGTGATGTTGAGCATCTTTTCATGGCTGATTCATGTCAATGTATGGCAAAACTGCTACAATATTGTAAAGTAATTAGCCTCCAATTAAAATAAATGCTTTTTTTTTAAAGTACTTCATTTAATTACAGAAAAATGCAGTTGAGAAGTTGTTTGACTCTCAAAAATCTCAAAAGCTTAGATTCCTTGTGATCAGGAATTATTTATATCCTGTGAGTCTATAAAAAAATGAATTGGCGCAGAGCCCCTGTTTGAGTTTCCTGAGCCATGCCGCAAATTCCCGTAGACTGTCTATTTTACATATGGTAACATAAGTTTCCTTGCTACTCTCCATCCATCTCACCCTCTCCTCCCCTCTCCCCATCTCCATAAGCCTGTTCTCTGGGTCTCTTTCTCCACTGCTGCCCTGTAAATAAATTCTTCAGTACCATTTTTCTAGATTCTGTATATATGCACTAGAATATGACATTTATCTTTCTCTTTCTGAATTACATCACTCTGCTGTCTGGCTCAGGAAACCCAAACAGGGGCTCTGTATCAATCTAGTGGGGTGGGATGGGGTGCGAGATGGGAAGGAGGTTTAAAAGGGAGGGGAGATATGGATACCTTTGGCTGACTCAGGTTGAGGTTTGACAGAAAACAGTAAAAGTCTGTAAAGCAATTATCCTTCAACAGTAAATGTTTAAAAATGAATTGGCTTTGCTAGGCTTTTGCAACATTCACAAGCGCAGTATCTCAGGAGCTGTTTGTCACCAATGTAGCGATTTAAGGCCTGGTGACTGAGGACCAAGGGGTGTTGGGGAATAATGCTATGGAACTGGGGCTGAAGGAAAAGAGAAATGTAAAAGTTCTGATGAAGTGGGGCAGATAGCATGTTCATCTACAAAGGTCACTCACTGAGTTTCTGATATTTTGTTGTATGCAGCATATGAAAAATATTAATCAACTTATTCAAATTATTGCCTATTTTTTGTCTTTAATGATATAAAAATGATTTATATAGTTCTTTGATTACCAGTGATCTGTTGATAAATTTTCAATGTCATGTAAAACTCATCTAGTTATAGAATAATAAAAAGTGACTTAAGGTGATATTTTCTTTATTTACGTTGATTATTATTTCTTATCAACAGTTTTTTCTCTTTTCCAGGGATTTTTTCAGTTAATGTGCAGTAAGAGCTGCTGTGTTTACTTCCATAAAATTTGTTGGAAAAAGTTCAAGAATTTAAAATATCCAGGTGAAAATGATCAGGTATTATATTTGTACTTCCTTTAAAACTTTACTAGAGCATATCCTCTTCTGCTCTTTCCTGCTTTTTTCTTCTTTCCCCTTCATTTCTTTCTGTTCACTTCCTTCCTCTTCCTTTCTTGCTCCATTTTTCTTTCCCTATTCTCTCTGATACTTTTCTCCTCACTATTTGGTCATCATTACCATTTATTAAATAGGTCTTTGTAGGAAATTCACATAAAGGACATAAAATCAAAGAATAGAATTGCTTAATAAAAAGAAAGACAAATGTATAGTTTTAAGGGTAGAGAACAGTGATAAATTTTATAGTCTTCAAAAATATATCTGTTATTGGGAATTCCCTGGCAGTCCAGTGGTTGGGGCTTGGTGCTTTCACTGCCAGCCCTCGGCTTCAGTCTCTGGTAAGGAAACTAAGACCCCACAAGCTGCACGGTGTGGCCAAAAAAAAAAAAAACACCAACAGAAGACCTTCAAAATATATTTGTGTTATTTATATTTGTCTAAAATCATATAACTAAATTGGAATTTTTCCACTGAAATTAAAGTAGAAATTGAACACCTGTGTCTATGTTAATTACTCTTTATTCTTTAATGAGGTAATGGCCATAAGTTGGGTCTATAATGTTTAATTCTAAAGTGTTTACATTGTGGAAACCACAGAAAATACTTATAAAGCAATTGTATATGGAGTTGAATGTTCTGAGTTCAGGTCCAGATTGAGCCACTTAGTAGGTTTTTTTTTACACTAGGCTGAAACTCATTTTTCTAAGCCATAAAGTGAGGGTAGTAATACCTACTTTATAAGGTTGTGAAGATTAACAGATAAACTTGTACATTGTAAAAATCATTATATAAGGCATAGTTATTCATTTTTTAAGCAGTATGTAAATACTTTTCACTTTCTTTGATTGTTAGGGCAATCAGTATTACTCAACTTTAAAAAGACAAGCAAAAGAAAACTAAATAAATTAACCAGAGGAAATAACAAGATCAGGATCAGAGGACTCAAATTTTTAATCTTTGTTTTCCACTGGAATCTTCACTTATCTAATAGAAATTCATTATTTCTTTTTGCACTTATTTAATTTGTATATTTTGCTTGAAGTTGCTTTCACTGGAGCATCAAATTCATTTTCGTTTATGATGTAACTATATAAAGATTTTAAATATTAATAGAAATGATGAGAGAGAAAAGTGTGATCATACATTTTAAGTAGGAAATCCATTGGTACAAGAAATGGACTATCTTTGAACAACTAACTCTCAAGTGTTTGTTCACATCTTTTGTTTTACTGTCTAGCAATATTTCCTTCTAAATTTATATAAATATAATCAGTTTTGCACATCAGTGGGTTTTTTCTATTTTTATTGTTCATATTATTTTATCTATTGAAAATTTATTGTTGTTTTCTATTGATAAAATTTATAGAGTTTTAGTGGAAAAAAATGTTTAAAGGAAGGATGTACGGGTGACATGGTAAGGATGCTACAGTGTGAGGTACCTGGAATTGTCAAAATTTTGGTGAGTAACTTTCTCTTGTTTTTCTTGCTTTTCTTCACTGGAATGATGTTTTTGACTTGGAACAGATTTGGGAATTGTAATAATAGTAGCCTAGTCATATTCTCTTTTATGGTGACTAAGCTCTCTAACATTTTGTTGCATTGATTTCTCTAAAGTAGTATTTAAGTGCGACTTAAAAGCAAAAAAATTTTAAAAATAACACACACACACACACACAGAAACTGACAAAACAGGCCATGACTATACCAGTGAGGAAAGTCTCTCATGCACAGAGGATGATAATCTAATTCTGCTACATGTATGCTTAAAAATAATTTCAGAGTTTCTGAACCCTTTATAGTCTTGGTTTTGCTATTTCATTTTAATAAAATATCTTCTTGATTTTTCAGTTTATCAGTAAGTAAACCAAAATTTTAAAAATGTGTATATATATTATATTTAGGTATGATCTTCTTTTTTAGATTTGGCATTTAAATCCTATGGTGATATAAAGTAGAAATGGTTTTTAAGGTCAGCTCTACTATTTGACTAAGATTGTTTATAGCTTGTTTCTTCTATTTTATTTGTTGTATGTTCACTATAGTTTCATTCTCACTGTCTTCTTTCAAACATTAAGGCTAAGAAGTAACACTAAAGAATTTTGAAAATTGAACTACTTTAGGGCTTTTTTTTTCCCCCATCACTTGCAGTTTGAAGTTGTGAGAAAGGATGAATATATAACCATTGAAAATTTAGGAGCAAGGTAAGTTTCAAATTAAATATTCTGCTTTTTTTTTAGCATGTATGTATTTTTCAGTTGCTTCTTTCTGTGTTTTCTGTTACTTTCTGGTGCTTCATTAAATTGAAAGATAGTATCAGTTGTGTGAAAAACTGTATTTAATTGACATTTGTTTACCCTTCTCTACCTCTTTGTAGACACTTAAATTCTAAAGAGGAAAGGAGCAATTATGTGGATGCTTTTACCTTAAGTATGAAAAGAATCCCTTCATGAAAACCAAACATATTTTTCTTAAAGTTATTTAAATTGGGTTGTTAAAAAAACTTTCTCCTAGCTTTCAAAACTCATCCAAGCCTCCAGGCTCATCTGAGAGTTAGAATCATTCCAGATGAGAAAGCTGTATTGTAACTGTATATACTGCTTATATATCATATATAAGCAGAAATTAATTGAGCTATAAATTGTTTCTGTTGAAATTAGGAATTTCAATATAAAACTTACCCTAATCCATTGATTTTCTTTTCTTCTGTTTAAAATGTCTACCATTTTTTAATCTACCAGGGTTAGACATTAATACCTAAGGCATCAGTTTTCCCTGTGAGCTAATGAAACACAAAGCTTTATCTCTGCTTTAGATCTCACTCTCAAAACTAGGTCTGTCTACCTGAATGCCAAATGTTTCCATTTTTATTTTTCAAAAAGATCTATAGTTCAATATGCCCACAGTTAGATTCACAATATTTCTTCCCAACACTGCTGTGTAACATTTTTTAGGTCCAATTAATTCAGCTTCTTAAATATATTGTACATGCCTCCTTACTTCTACCCTTGTGCTTCTGTTAAGCTTAATAAAGTTATTTTTCATTTGGAATTCTTAAATAGCTTCTAAACTTGGCTTTCTGGCTCCAGTCTTATCTTTCTTCAGTCTGACTGTTCAACAGTCTATAGACCTGTCTGTTCAGCCATTAAAATAGCTTTTTTAAAAGAAAATTGGAAATGCTTCACTTCTCTGCTTGAAAATCTTTGAGAGACTTCTAGTTGTTCCTGGTTAAGTTCAGACTTCTTAGCTTGGTTCTCTAAGACACTTTGGACCCTGCTACACTCACTGGTGTCATCGCTTGTCATTGTTTTCTTACTATATATGCAGCAACTATACTCAACTTCTTTTAGTTACTAAGTGTGCCATCTGTTTTACCTCTGGGATTTGCCCAGAATATTCCACTCCTTTGGATTTGGCTGGTTAAAACTTCTAGAAGGTCCTATTTACTTTGCATTAGGTGTTTCAGTCACATATTCCCTTTTTTTCTCCTATTAAAACATTTACTAAGTTCTGTTGTACTTTCTTGGCTCTCTCCTCCATTTGACTATAGCCTCCACGAGGGCAAGAACTTTAACTTGCTTACTGGCATATTCCTAGTGTGTAGCATAATGCCTGGCATATAGCTAGTACCCAACAGTTGCATGCCAGGTGTGGAGATTCTGCAATGAGTGTGTTACTTTTGATTTGATAGGCAATTAACTTATTTGGAACTGAACTGCAAGGTTGTTTTTCTTGGCTAGTGGTTCCAGTTTCAATTCAGATCTTTTGTCTTTAGCTGAACTGCTATGAGTGAGTCCGTTCCACATGTATGGTTTAGCTTTCAGTCAGAGATGTGGCCAGAAAACTGGGGGATTTCTTCTCTATCTCCTTTCTGGAATTCCCCCCCCCACTCAACAGCCATGGCTCCATGGCTTCAATTTTCCTTTAACCAGGGAGACCTTTGTTTTCCACTATGTTATAGTTGCGCCACAGAATTGATGCTTTTGAACTGTGGTGTTGGAGAAGACTCTTGAGAGTCCCTTGGACTGCAAGGACATCCAACCAGTCCATCCTAAAGGAAATCAGTCCTGAATATTCATTTGAAATGACCCTGATGCTGGGAAAGATTGAAGGCAGGAGGAGAAGGGAATGACAGAAGATGAGATGGTTGAATGGCATCACCGACTCAGTGGACATGAGTTTGAGTAAACTGCGGGAGTTCGTGATAGACAGGGAGGCTGGCGTGCTGCAGTCCATGGGGTTGCAAAGAGTCAGACATGACTGAGCAACTGGACTGAACTGAACGTTACTCTTACTCTCAGACTAAAAGCTCTAACTAAAAGTGGTAAACTTAATTTCATGTAATTATCTTCTCTTCTCCCTGAGCATACATATACCCTCTACATTTGATTTGTTTGGTTGGTTTGTTTCTTCCACTCTTTGGTGCCTCAAGAGTTCTTTTTGTAATTTGTGTAAGTTTTATAGTTATTTTCTGTGGGAAAATCCTGGAATAATTGACCCTTATTATCAAAAGTGGAAGAGCTGTGATTTATGTCAGAGTGTTTTGCCTATGTTCTCCTCTAGGAGTTTTATAGTTTCTGGTCTTACATTTAGATCTTTAATCCATTTTGAGTTTATTTTTGTGTATGGTGTTAGAAAGTGTTCTAGTTTCATTCTTTTACAGGTGGTTGACCAGTTTTCCCAGCACCACTTGTTAAAGAGGTTGTCTTTTTTCCATTGTATATTCTTGCCTCCTTTGTCGAAGATAAGGTGTCCATAGGTATGTGGATTTATCTCTGGGCTTTCTATTTTGTTCCATTGATCTATATTTCTGTCTTTGTGCCAGTACCATACTGTCTCAATGACTGTGGCTTTGTAGTAGAGCCTGAAGTCAGGCAGGTTGATTCCTCCAGTTCCATTCTTGTTTCTCAAGATTACTTTGGCTATTCAAGGTTTTTGTATTTACATACAAATTTTGAAATTATTTGTTCTAGTTCTGTGAAAAATATCATTTGTAGCTTGACAGGGATTGCACTGAATCCATAGATTGCTTTGGGTCAGTCAGTCAGTTCAGTCGCTCAGTCGTGTCTGACTCTTTGCGACCCCATGAGTTGCAGCAAGCCAGGCCTTGCTGTCCATCACCAGCTCCCGGAGTTTACTCAAACTTATGTCCATCGAGTCGGTGATGCCATCCAGCCATCTCATCCTCTGTCGTCCCCTTCTCCTCCTGCCCCCAATCCCTTGCTTTGGGTAGTACACTCATTTTCACTATTTTGATTCTTCCAATTCATGAACATGGTATATTTCTCCATCTATTTGTGTCCTCTTTGATTTCTTTCTCCAGTGTTTTATAGTTTTATATATATAGGTCTTTTGTTTCTTTAGGTAGATATATTCCTAAGTATTTTATTTTTTCGTTGCAATGGTGAATGGAATTGTTTTCTTAATTTCTCTTGAATACATGTAAATCCATGGCTGATTCATGTCAATGTATGACAAAAACCACTACAATATTGTAAAGTAATTAGCCTCCAACTAGTAAAAATAAATGGAAAAAATAAATAAAACGCAAGAAAAAAGAAGTGGAAGAGCTATCTCATAAGGTTTTATGAATGAATAACAGAAATATTTGGTTGTTTTTTAACTTTAAAATGCTTTATTATTATTAAAATATGCTTAAAGAAAAGCCCAAAAAATATAAGTGCAGAGTTTAAGAAAGAATTATGAAGCATACAGTCTTGTGGCTTTACCCAAAGCACCAAGTAGTTTTGTTAGCACTCCAGAAGCATTCAGTTCCCCTCTTCCTAGGTAACTGTTAACCTGACTTTCACAGTAATCACCTCTTCATTTTCTTTATTAATATAAATGCATTCCTAAACATTGAATTTTTTTATAGAGTTAGGCTTTTTTAAGCTCTAGTTCATATACAGTAAAAATCACTTTTAAAACCTTTAAATACAACCAGGTAACCACTACCGTGATCAACAGCTCTTCATCTTCCCTAGTCTCTATAAAATCTCTTACATAGTCATTCCTCTTCAACCTCCAAATCCTGGTAACCACCGATATGATTTCCATTCTGATTAATACTGCTTTTTTCTGACTATCCTCTAGTAGGAAGACCTTTTAGCATCTGGATTTACTTAGTGTAATGATTTTGAGATTCATCCTTGTTATTGCATGTGTCAGTAGTTCAGTTTTCTTTGTTGCTGAGTAGTCTTCCTTTGTATAGATGTGCCATAACTTATTTATCCATTTAACAATTGGTAAACATTTGAAATGTTTCTGGTTTTTGGCTTTATAAATAAGGCTGCTATAAATAGTCATGTATTACTCTTTGTAGAAAGAGATGCTTTCATTTCTCTTGGGTAAATTCCTAGAAGCAGGATTGCTGAGTCATATGTTTTGTGATTAATGTTACAAGAAACTGCCAGACTGTTTTCAAAGTAGCTATACATTTTGTTATTCTCACCAGCATTGTAAGAGAATTACAGTTTCTCTGTATTCTGTTCAGCACTTGGTATTAAATTTAAAAATTTCAGCCTTGTTAAAAGATATGTAATGTTATCTTATTGTGGTTTTAATTTTCATTTGCCTAAATTTTCAAAACTAGTTTTCTATTTTAGATCCTTTGCTCTTACATGATAAATCTCAGAGACAACTTATAAATTTCTCTAGACTTCTTGCTGAGGTTTTTTTTGATTGCATTGAATTTGTAGGTCAGTTTGGGGATGATTTGTATCTTAGCAATATTGAGAATGCCCATCCATGAAGATAGTGTATAATTAATTTCATTTATTTGAGTCTTCTTCTTTGATGTCTCTCAGAAATATTTTGTAGTCTTCTGTGTACAGTCTTATAAATATTTTGTTAGATTATCCATGTATATTTGACTTTTTATGCTATTATAAATGATAATTATAAAACTTAAATTTCTAGTTATTTCTGTCATATAGAATTAATTTTTGTCTATTGAACTTATATCCTGTGACTTGCTACTTAATAATTCTAATATTATTTGTAGATTCTTTGAGGTTTTCTATGATTTTGCCCTCTGTGCGTAATGACAGTCTTATTTCTGGTTTGCAATCTGTTTGCTCTTTGTTTGTTTTTCTTTATGCGTTGCGTGAACTGAGTTCTCTAGTGCAGTGCTGAATGCACGTGTGAGAGCAGGCAGTCACCTTGGCCTTTCCCAGACCTCGGGGGAAGCCGTCAGGCTCACCGT